CTCCTCCCCTTGGTGTTGTGGAGAGCCTCCAAGGTGCCCAATCTCTCTTCTATTTCTCCTGCATGGAGGTCACAGTGGTGGGCTTTGTGATTCAGGACCTGTTCTGGGTCTCACAGCACTGAGCTGCTCTCTGGGACACTTTACCATGTCCCTCCCCAGGAGCTGGCCTGGTGTTCACAGCAGCAGTGCCCAGAAGCTGGCCTCCTTCCCCCTGCTTGTTGTTCCTGGGGCCTCTGCTGACTCACTGCTTGTGTTAACACCTTCAGTGCTTCCCTATGCTTGCTATTTTGGGCCATCCATTTGCACCTGTAGCGCCTAGCCTGCATCTCTGTCCTGCACACACACTCAGTGCACATGTGCATGTGTCAGTCTGCCCATCCTCTGTACTCACCTGGCTTGCTTCACAAGGTCAGGCAGCCTTGAGCTGTTGCTCTGCGTTGGGTCCCTCTGACTGCACCAGCCAGGGACTCTTGGGGGAGGACAGGTCCTGCCAGGGTACACCGTGTGCCATGTTTTGAACCTGACTTACCAGCGTTTAAAACTATTTATTGTGAAATGTGTCAGCGTCCCGAAGTTCACAGAGTAAACATGCACAGCATCCTGATCCTAAAGCAACACCTGTGAGAGCTCACTTAGAGCCCCGCCCAGGCCCCTGCCCAGACAGAAGTTCAGGAATGGTGCCCTGTACCTCAGAGTTACCTGGGCGGAGGCTGCACAGCATGGTGCCTTGTTGTTCTTCTGTGTGGGGGGGTGCATTGGCCTTCCACTTGCTCACTGGTCTTCTGCAGTTCCTGCTCTGTGAAGTGCCCATTCCATTTGGCATCTTTTCTTTTTTTTTTTTTTTTTTTTGGATGGTTTTTTTTGTTGTTGTTGTTTTTGTTTTTTGTTTTTTTCTCATAGGTTTGCAGGAGTTCTTTGTATGTTCAAGGACTTTTCCTCAGTTATGTGCAGGAAATACTCTCCTGCTTTGGGGGAAGTGGCCTTTAATGGTCATGAGCCTTGGTGACTCAGTTTCTGACTATTCTCATGGAGTGTTTCTTTGTCTTGTCCTCAAGTTGCAAAGGTGGTCCTGGGTGTTCCTGCACACTGCTCTGTGGCCTGGGGTGGCTGGTGTGGGGCTGCATTGTTTCCCACGGTGTCCAGCTCTGCTCTTGCCTCAGAGGGACAAAACTGTCTTTCTCTGGCAACCGAGGTAGGCCCAGGCTGTCTGCTATTTTGGCCCCTGCTGTCCCTGATTGGGTTGGGTTGGGTGTGGTGGTGTCTGAGATGGGACCAAAGGCCTCATGCATGCTAGAAAAGCACTGAGCCACATCCCCAGCCCTATTCTTTATTATATTTAGAGACAGGGTCTCACTGAGTTGCTTAGCACCTTGTGAAATTGCTGAGGCTGGCTTTGAACTTGCCGTCCTCCTGTCTCAGTGTCCTAAGCTGCAGACATGCGCCACTGCACCCAGCTATTTTTTTTTTAAACTAATATTCACTTGTATAATTTGAAGGTGTTTCCTCCAGTTTCAACTCTCTGCATGAGTTTTTGTTCCTTTCGAGACCCATTTCTCCTTTGGGTCCTTGCACCATTCTGGGGGTCTGGGCTGTTGTTTCTTGCACCTGGTGCGAGTCTTCTTCTGCAGGCTGGGCTCTTGGCCTGGTGATGGGCAGAGGCTCTAGCTTCCAGGACTGCAGCCCTTCACAGGACGAGGGCTCCAGGGGCCCACAGACCTCCTGTTTATGTGAGGCCCCTATGATGTTATTTTATTAAAAAGGGTAGCTTGAGAAAATTTAGATATTTTGTTCATTTGAAAGTAATCAAGTATCATGTGTTAAGATACATTAATTTCTATTGAAGTATAACCATCTTACAAAAGAATTTGGTGGGTGGAGGAAGGTAGCATTGTTCCAGTGCCCACACCTTGTTGTTGTCTGGCCGACCTCCTTCACAGCAGGCCACTGCTCCTGCTTGCAACTGGCTGCCTTGCCACAGGCGGATGGGAGGTCTGGCTTGCACAGGGCGCAGTAGGACAGACATGCTCTGGTGCTTCACATGCATTACTGAGGTCTTCGTTCTAGTCTGGAGGACCAGTTCTTGCCCCATGTGTGAGCACTCCACCCTGGTCCTTTAGGAAAGCCCGGCTCACTGAGTTGTGCAGGTGCTTCATTGTACATTACTAATGATGCCTTTGATAACATTGCTGGCCTCATAGAAATACCTTTCCCTTGTGCAGAGGCATCAGCCCAATGCTGGTGGGTGCAGGTTTTCTAAAGTTCATATTTCCTTTCACTTGAAAGCTCAGACATTACTGCTGTCAGTTTTCCTTGAAGTGATCAGCTTACTCCGTTTACTTTAGAGAAAACAACAGTCGGGCCCTGTCTCTGTGGGTTCCATATCTGCGGATTCAACCAGTCAGAGATTGAAAAAGTTAGGTGGGAAGTGGATCCTGTACTGAGCACGCACAGACTTCTCCAGCACCCCTCCTGCATGGGCTGCACTCAGCATTTATGACACTTCAGACACTAGAGTTATCCAGAGAGGACTTGATGTGTAGGAGAATAGGGATGGGTCCTGTGCAAACACCACTCCGTCGTATACCCTGAGCTTGAGCGCTGTGGGCTTTGCTATCTGTGGGAGCCCTGGAACCAGTTCCTAGAGACCCCGTGGGACACAGGAACTGCCAGGCACCCAGTTCACAGTAACTTTGAGATTTGGGCAGGAAAGACAGCCCTTTAGGGAAAACTCCTGTTCAGAGTTAAAACTGGAGGAAACACCTTCCAATTACACAAATGAATAGGAGCACCACGAGCAGACACTTTCCCTGTGATAAGCACCCAGGGTGCTCAACACACAGGCCTCCCCCTGCCAGAGCCTTGGAAGGGCAGGACTGGCGGCCACGAGGTTCAGAGTTCAGGGTTTCACCATGCCCAGCACTGAGTGCCAGGTTCTGCTGCCATCACATGATAGTAAAGTCATTGTGACCCCCAGTGCTGGCATCAATGCTGTGGAAAGGGCTTGTGGCATCTTGGAATCATCATGAACACATGCTGACCTCACAGACCCCTGAGAGGCATCCAGGGACACCAGCAAGAACCACTGCGACATGTGAGACCAGTAAGGACACATGTGAAGCCCCAGGGCCTGCGCAGTGAAGCTGGCCAGACAGAAAGGCACATGGCAGCTGGGGTGCGCCTCAGTGGCGGGGTGTGTGTTGTGCATGCCCCAGGCCCCGAGTTTACCCCAGCAGCGCAGAAACAATAGAGGAGCATGAGCCAGTGGGGGGGCTGCATCCCGGAGAGCTTTAATTATTTATGGACGCTAAAATCCTAGTTCCATGTAATTTGGGGGGTACCATGAAGCTTTAGCCTTTTTATTTTTCCTTCCCTCAAGCATAAACCTGTGAAACCCATTCCTAGCTCTCGGGCCTGCCAGCTGCAGTGTGCTGCAGCTGCTGGCTGCTCCCACCCTGCAGGCCCTGTCAGTAGAGGGCAGGCCAGTGTCTGGAGACTTTGCCTGTGTCCAAGCTGCTTAGGGGCTTCTTTCCCAGGCCACACACAGACTGGGCAAAGCCTCCTGTGCAATGCGCATGGGTCCTCTGCCCCTGTTGACACTGTCACCGTCTGTGCTGTTCCATTTGGTTCAACGTGTGCCCGAGTGCTTTTCTGTCTGTCTTTGGAGCGTCCACCACAGACCCTTTGTCTTTGGGACTCTTTCTCCCCTGCTGCTAGAAAATTACTGTTTGATTATTCTGCATCTTAGTTTTGGGGTGGGTAGCTCTGGGATGGCTGGGCCACAGAGCTGTCTGTTGCAGGGCACAGTGGCTGAGTGTGTGCTGACAGCGAGTGCCTCGTGTCCACCTGGAGCTGAGATCAAGACAGAAATTCTTTGGTGTGAGGCTGGGATGGGGCTCTGTGGCAGAGCATTTGTCTGGCATCTGCAAGGCCCTGGGCTCAAACCTAGCACCAGGAGTGTGTTGGGGGGTGTGAGGCTGTGTCCTGGAGAGTGGCAGAGAGAATCTGAGGAGCAGCACTGGGTGATCTCTAGAGGTCAGGAGTCCCCTCAGGCGGGGACCCCAAGATGAAGGCCTAGCAGAGCCAGTGTCTGACGAGGGATGTTTCTGGCTCTGTCTTTTCCCTGTGTGCTTACGGAGAGACCACTGTCAGCCATCTTGGGGATCAGGCAAGATCAGTGAAGGGCTGCAGTGAGAATCCAGAGGCCATGGGTCTGCACACAGTAGGTTGGGGTCTACGAATCCTGGCTCTGCACTGGGGCAGGCCTGGCTATTCAGGGTGCTCTGTCCTGCAGGCTTTGCCGCATAAGGATGGACTCTGGTTGTGTGGTGGGGTAGGGACCGTTGGCTGAGTGTGAGGCTTACACAGGAGGTGGGTGGTTTGCATCAAGCCCTCGCTGTCTCTAGGAACCAGCCCCTGGCCAGCAAGCCTTGTAAGATGCCAGGAAGTCATAAAACACAGGGGGGAAAATGCACAGTAAATGCAGTGTGTGTCCCAGGTTTCCTGGGAAATACAGGCTGGAGCTTGGGCCCAGGTGGGCAGAGTGGGGTCATGAAACCATGGGGATCCTCGGGACTCCTCTGTGCCACAGGCCTGTGCCTGTGCCTGTGCCTGGGGCTTGATGAGAAGCAAAATGGTTCTCCTCCAGCCTTCTGTTGGGGTGCTTGCAACTGGCAAGCAAGTCTTAGAGGCTGAGCCTGGGAGACTGGAGCCATCAGGCCTTCAGCAGAGGGAAGGAGAGGGGACTGCCACCTCCAACCTCAGGGCGCAGGCCCAGGTGTGGTTGTGCCAAGGGCCAGCAGCCCGACCAGGCCGTCTGCTTCCTTTCTGCCCAAGCCCAGCTGTGTGACCCACCTTGTTTCTCATCACTGCTGGTGGCCCTGGTAGGGGTCTGCCTGGACCCACTCCCCACATGGAGTACGGCCACTGCTGCCCTGGGAAGAGGTCATTTAGTTGGTGTAGTGTGGCCGGTTTTTAACCCTGTGTACTCTCTGTTGAAGCAGACTGGTGACGATGACGCGGTGGCGGCCTAGAGGAGACGAGGCGCGGGAGCAGAACGATGCCCAGGGGCGCACGCTCTAGAACTCCACAGCAGGAAGACTTTTCTCCCAGCAGCGACATGGTGGAGAAACAAACTGGGAAAAAGGTAACCCCCACCTCCACCATCTGGGCGCTGCGTGCTAGTGAAAGCCCCCTGCATGTGGGCAGAGAGCCACTCTCCTGTGGCTCTGAGGAGGGCCACCAGGGATGAGCTGTGTCACAGTGTCCCGCTTGCAAACACTACTGAGAATTTCACTTGCAAGTCAGTTTGTTCTGTTCCGGGGGAACATTTCTGTCCTGCAGTGCTAGGGTTGGCAAGTGTGGGCCCATGACCTGAACCACAGACGGGGGCTTGCTTTATGGCTGTTGTCCATCCCATCCCCTGCTGTCTGGGAACAGGAGGGTTTTGGTGCAGCGAGTGCTGTGCACATCCCAGCGGTGCCACAGGCCACTGACAGGAGTCCTGTGGCTGGCCTGTGTAGCCCTCTGGCCTGTGTTAGTGGGCCTCATCTCAGTGAGTCCTTGGGCACTGATGACTTCAAGCTGCTCCTGCCCTCACCCTAGCATTTAAGCTGTGAAGACAGCCCTAAGACTGCTGCCCCTGGGCACTGGCACTGCCTCCTCCCGCCCTCCGTCACCCCAGCCTCTGGCAGTGTTTGGGTTTGAAGTGCTTGCTGTGAGGCCAGCAGGTAGCCCTGTGTAGAAATGGCTGGGTGGAGCCATATATATTCATTAAGCTTTGGTTGAACATGGACAAGCTGAATGAGCCTTTGGGACTCTTGGCTGTGGCGTGTGTCCCCTGTCCTCCGCTGCTTGCTCTGTCCAGAGCGCCTTGAGCTGTGTGCAGGGGCAGATGTTGCAGTGTGGGTACCTGGCATGCTGAGGCATGTGTCTGGCCAGTGTCATACCTTGAGAGGGTAGACTTTACCCTGCAGGGTGTGAGCTGTGTGCTCTGCTTACCTAGCCAGCATCAGAAGCTTCTTATGTCCATGTGGTCGACACAAGCACAAGTCTCAGAACCCCAAAATGTCCATCAGAGACTGGGACCATTCTTAGACTTAGATTGGGCTCTGGAAGCAGAGTGTGGTCTTCAGCCCACAGAAGACCTGGCGGGACAGGTGTGGAGGCAGGGAAGTCAGAGCTGGAACTCTAGGCCCCCACTATCAGGCAGGGTGCAGGAGGGTGGGAAAAGGAGACCCTGGCCCCCAAGCTGACCAAGATGAGTAAGCAGTGGAGGGAGTGACTGGGCCTCCCAACTCAAAGCGGGTGGTTGACACTTGGTATCTGCTGGGCATGGAGGAAGGCCCAGGGCAGTCCTGTGAGTGAGGGCTGAGCCTTGGAAAGCAGGCTGCATCGGCCTTACAGGGCCCTCTCCTGAGGCAGCTTTTGTTGTGCCACTGCACTGGGTGCTGAGCACAGAAGCAGGTTCCAGGTTGGTTCAGGTGGTTTTGTTTGGTTTTGGTACTGGGGAAGACCCAGGGGTGCTCTACCACTGAGACACATCCCTAACCCTTTTTTTCTTTTTAATTTTGAGACTGGGTCTATGTTGCTTAAGGCCTTGCTACTTTGCCAAGGCTGGTCTTGAACTTGGGATCCTCCTGCTTCAGCCAGCTGATTATAGGTGTGCACCACCATGCCTGGCATTGTTTGTTTTGTTTTTTTGAGGAGGGAAAGTTCATTTTGAGCTCACGGCTTCACAGGCTCAGTTAGCCAACTCCATAACTCAGTAAGATGAGGCAGAACATCATGATGGAAGGTCATGGTGGAGAGAAGCTACATGGCTAGAGGCTGCCAAGGATACCAGGCTGAGCCCAGTGAGCCTTAAGCCAAGTCTGCACCCTGGCTGCAGGAGAGCCTGGTCTAATCCTACTATTTTCCCCAGTAGGTAGCTGTGTTGTTTTCCTGTGTTTGTTCTTAAAACCATCAGAGCTAAAGCCTCTTCTCAGACACAGTTGCCTGTAGGCTGTTCTGAAGAGTACTGACCTGGTGGGTGTGCACAACAGGGGCAGGCATGTAGCAGACTCCCAGCTGCACCCATCAGGCACAGGGGCAGGCTCATGGAGAAGCGGGTGTTCCTTCAGGTCTCCTTGCAGGTGAGGACCTGCTCTGGAAGTGGTCTCTGGAATATGCAGCCTGGGAGTAACCTTGGCAGGAGCCAGGAAACCCTGTACTGTTGAGTGTGTCCTGGTCCAGAGAAGACAAGGGCTGTCATGGTGTCAGAGACTGCCCAGCAAGAATTAACATCCCTGATCCCCAGTCCAGAACTCCCTCCATTACAGGCTATTGCCCCTTGCTGCTGTGCTCAGCTCACACTACTCTGAGTGAAGACTGCAAGCCTCTTCTGGGTGTTCTCAGAGTGACTTCTAGACCATGGCTTCAGCTGGGAACATGTCCTGGTCACACTCAGTGAGCAGGAAGCTGTGAGGGGCAGCAGGGGCTCTGGAGTGAGCTGTGTCTGCATGGTGCATGCCACAGCTGGAGCACCAGCAGGCTCACAGCGAGGAAGCCTTGTGGAACCTACAGGACTGCCCTGTAGGTCCACTTACCTGGCATGCTGCTGGTGGGCACGTTCCTTAAGGGATGAGGCCATCTCTAGAGGTGGCCGTGCTACTGCCACCATGGGGTTGGTGGGGCTTCAGCTTGTACTGCTTCCTCCTGTGGTTTCCAGGCATGTTCTGAAGCCACAGGGCTCTTGGCTGTTTGGTCCCAAGGAGGAGCGTGCAGCTTCATCCAAGAGATAACAGAAAGGGGTCCACAGCCTTGATGGAGTCAGTTCCTCTCAGGCTCCAGATAGACTGTCATGGTGGCAATAGAGAGAGGCCAGGTCTTTTGGTCCCTGATGGACACTTGGAGATTCCCTGCTCGCCGCTGGGACTTCTGTCAGTCCTTTTTGCTAGAACTTGCCAGGCTTGGGTCCTCTTTTCTCCCAAATCAGTTGTGGGGCTGAGGACAGGGCCGTGGGTCATTGTGAACGTCCTCATGGTTTCTGCTTGCTTAGCACAGCTCCCACAGACTCCACTGCCCTGATTGAAATAGAGCAGCATTGAAGGGCCACCTCAGCACTGCCATTGCCAGTGACCCTGAGGGTTAGTTCTGAGGCAGGGACCATGTCCTCCCATGTCCCCCCCTGACAATACCTTGGGTGCAGGCGGAGTCCTGTTAGGTCATTCTTTCCCTGGACCCCTCTTTCTGATTTTAATTAATAAAATAAGGCAGAACTTTCTTGGTTTGGGGAAAAAAGGCTCAGAAAGCCCCAGGACTCGGCCTTCCTCTGGTGTAGCTCTTGTAGTGGGCACTCTGTCCTGCTTTCCCTCATTCTCACCTAACCTCCCTGTAAATCCAGTCCATTTGTTTTTCTTCCAGAATTCATTTTTTTTTTAATGATAGGCAAATGCAAGGTCACAGACATTAAAGAGGATAGTGTACATTGGCCAAGGAGGGTTTACACCAAGAATTTGAGGTTCAGCTGACATCCAGAATCAGTTTATTATGACCAAAACAGAAAACCCTGTAGTTTTGTCAGTTGATGAGTGTGCATGCACACACACTTGGCCAAATCCAAGACCCACTCATTACAGAAACCCTCAGAAAGTATATGGGATAGAGGGGGTTCCCTTACCTGACGCACCCTGTGGAAGACCAGCTGCTGGCCAATGATGCAGTGCTAAAGAAAACCTGCCCTCAGCACCGAGCTGCTCACAGATGCCATGGAGGAGGCCCCTCAGCTCAGCACGAGCGGCAGTGTGGAGCCATAAATGCAGTTCATGGAGCCAAAAACATGGTCAGAAGCATCAAAAACATGAATTATTTGGGGATAAGTTTAAAAGATACGCTTCACGATTTGAACCCTGAGAGCTACACAGATTGCTTGCTGCGAGAAGTTAGGAAGGCCTAAATAGGTGGAGAGTTGTGCCATTGGTGAGAAAGCTGAGCGCTGTTCAGGCTTCTCCCTCTCAGTGGATGTGTGGGTTCAGTGTAGGACCGTGAAAACCATGATTCCAGAGGACCTGGAACAACCATGGCCACTGTGAAGAAACAGAGCACACGTAGAGCACTCGGGCTCTCCACCTGCGGTGTGGCTCCCAGGACTGTGCTCAGCAGAGGGCTGGGGCAGCTCTCTGACAGGTAGCCAGTGCCCACTGTACTGGTTGCTCCTCCTGGGTCCCTCCGTGGCTGGTCACGGAGTATTACTAACCTTGGGTGGTTCCCAGCACTAGCACCAGGTAGACCAGCACCCTTTTTGATCATGCAGTTAGGACTTCATTGTTTCTTGCTATGCTGCTTGTAGTGGCAGTCATGGAGTGGTGGATGTTTAAAACAGTTCTTCTGCCAGGAGTGGCGCACACCTGTCATCCTCGTGCCAGGGGAGGCGGAGGGCTGGGGTGTGGCTCAGGGGTAGCACCTGGATTCAGCCCCGCCTTGGGACAGCTGCAAGACAGCCTTTCTGTCTGCACCTCATGACGGAGTCCAGCACATTGGATCACAGCCAGCCCAGGTGCCGAGTGTCTCCACGTGGCGTTGTCCACGGTGCTACTTGGGGGAGGGGCTGGGATAACATTTTATGTGAAATACTTTTTGGTGAAATACAATGCACAGTTGTAGCTTTTCTCCCACTTTGAAAACCAGGGACAGTCTGCATTCTGAGGAACATGCACAGTGTTTTCTGGGCTCTGGGACTGCCCTTGCTGTCCCTAACCAGCAACCCCCTCTATGCCAAAGGTGGCCCCTGTTCTGTCTCTGTCACCACAGATAAGAAGTGGTGATGTGAGGGCAGTGTTTTCTGGCCTGTGGCTCTGCTTGGCTGTTGCATAGCCCTTTTGCGGGCACCTCTGATGGTGTCATCATTCTTTTGTTGATGAATGTGGAGTGGGTTCCCTCTGAGCAGTCCCTGTGACCCATTGGAGTTGGCGGTCTCCTCCCTCCACACACATGGCCACACAAGGGAGCATGGATGCATCTGTCCTGTGGCACTTGCCCTGTGCTGCCTCCTAGGAGCTATCTGGCTGGGATCCATCTGGGACTAGTCATGTGGTGTGGCACAGGGGCCACTGGAGACCTGCCATGCCACCAGGCAGCCCTGGCTGTCAATTCTGCTGTGTCCCAAGGCCCCCAGAGTGCAACACCCACTCCAGGACACGTGCTTGAGTACCATCGTTTCACAGTCTTGATGTTGTCAGTGTAAGCTGTTAGCCTTGTTGCCTTGGTGTTATGCTTAAAATAATATTTTTAGTTATAGATGGGCCCAATACCTTTATTTTATTTATTTATTTTCATATGATGCTGAGGACTGAGCTACAGCCCCAGCCCCTATTTGCTACTTTTGGTCTTTTGTGTACTTTTCTTTCCCTTTTTTTTTGTTTCCCTCCCTGCCTCACTTCCTTCCATTCTTTGGTGCTGGGGATGAAACCCAGGGACACTCTGCCACTGAGCTCATCCCAAAGCCCCTGTTGTTTATTTTTTACTTTGAGACAGAGTCCCCCTAAGTTATTGAGATTGACCTTGAACTTGTGATCCTCCTGCATTGCTGGGATTACAGGTGTGCGCCACCATGTCCAACTACTTCCATATACACTTTCTAATAAGCTGGAGTTGGGATTGCTTTGAATGTCAGTGTGTGGAGAAATATCATAACTTTTGAGGTTTTTAAATTCTTGAACATGATGTAGCCTTGCATCTTACTTATGTCTTTATGTTCTCTTGTTACTATTTGGTAACTTTTTATGTAGTGGGCTCAAACATCTGTTTCTGGATTTGTCCCTAGGTTTTAATGTGTCTTGTTAGTGCATGATATTCTTAATATCCATGCCCAAGCGTTCATGGTACAGGGCACATCCAGCTCCTTCCTGCATCCAGCCGTCCCTCTAGTTCAGTTTGCAGAGTTCACTTGTGTACCCTTTGGGTCTTTCCTGAGGCAACGTGCCCTCTTGAGGTTAGTGCTCATGGTCCTTCCATGAGGGAAAGGCGTGAGCCTGAGCTGCCACACACCCTTGCCAGCTCTACCCAGGTAGGGTTGGCTGGTAGTGTTGCACCCACACTGTGTGTCCTGGGCCTGTTTCCTCTCTTTCCTGAGGAGGACTGTCTTCCACAGCTGCCTGGGCAGCCCTTTGCTCTTCTGAGAGGTCGCTTTGCTTTTGATTTCTCAGCAGGTGTGTGCATCAGTGTCCCTGCCGGGGTCTCTGCTCTGCAGCTGCCCTCAGCTGTCCTGCAGTGCTGGGTCTGTGCGGCCTCCTGCTCACTGCTGTGGCTGGCTCTTCCTCGAGCCCCTTAATGTGTTTGGTGCATCAACTTTTTTACATCTGCATTCTTGACTCCATCACCCTGGCTGTGTGCTGCCTTCTTACCCATCCGTCCATCACTGGTGCCTGGTGAGCGCTTGCCCTCTGTTCAGGAGGAGCATGGCTCACACTATGCACAGAACACCCTTGTTGCGTTCTGGAGCCAGGGCTGTGGCAGCCTCAAGAGTGAGTTGGGAACGTGTACTCTTTCTCTTTTCTCTGAAAGAGTTTGTGCTAGGAGTGGCATTATTTCTTCTCTGAGTTCTTGGTAAGGTCCACCTAAAGACCAGGCAATTTCTTGGTATGAAAGTATTTAATCAGAGACTTAGAGTTTTTGTTCCACTCTTCCCTGGTGTTGGGTGGCACAGTTCACGGGTGCCTCCTGCTGGGAGATGCCTGTGCCCATGCAGAAGGGTGTGGAGGTATGGTGCCTGGTGCTGGGTGCTGCGCTTGCACACAGCACCTCTTGGACGCCCTTCCTTGTGCTGGTCTTGTTGCCCTGGCTGTGTCTGAAGCACTAGGGGCAAACAGCTAAGTTGGAGGAACAGCACTCCTTAACTGCCGGGCTGGGAAAGGCAGAGGTGGAGCAGTCAGCAGGAGGCAGGGCCAGGGAGACCTACTGCTGGCACGGCCCCAGGCAGCACCCCACCTCATCTAGCCAGGAGCTTCTCAGAACCCCAGTGCTTTGAGGGCAGCCCTGCAGCTGTGCTGTTTGCCAGCAACTGGCCTGCGGACACGCCCAAAGAACTCCAGTGACTGTGCCTGCTCCTCTGAAACGGCAGTGTGCCAGTGCCTTCGTTCGGCCTCCCACCCAGCCGCAGAGCAGCTGGCCCTGAGGGAGGACACAGCCTGTGACTCCATGTGGGCTGAAGAGGCCCAGGTTTCAGCTGGCTGCAGCTGTGCAGAACTGGTATGCCTTTACTGTGCACCCACCCAGCCCAGCCTGGAGCAAGGGGTCCCTCCTGGCACTGACCGCAGCCACCTCAGAGCCACCTTTGCCTCAGGGGACAAGCTTCCCCTCTCAGAATGATTGCCAGCTCTTTTAGGGGGCACATTTGTCACTGTGAGTGGCCTCCGCCCTCACCATCAGGACCCAGCTGCTCCTTCCTGACCTTGCTGCAAAGCTCCACTTTCTACTAGGTGAACGTGCCTTCTGTGACCTCAGAGCCTGAGGTAGACACCTGGCTCATGTGGCACACTATGGGAGACTGTGGCCTGAGTGTATGTGTGAGCTGTGCCCGGCTTCCTCCTCTGGAGTGGACACTGTGCCCACTCTGTAGTGGTGCGCTGAGCCTTACCCAAGGTCAGCCAACTGGTAGAGGAGGTGGAATTGGAGCTGCTGGGTCCTTACCTTGTGAATGACACTCCTGCCAGCCCCTCTGTGAGGGCGCAGTCAGGAGGTCAGCCTGGGCTCCTTACAGCCAGGCTGAGGGTCCAAGGTGAGAGCAGAAGGGCAAAACTGCAGCCTTGCAGCATCCAGTGGGCACAGGGAAGGAAGGCATGGCATCCAGTCACAGGGAGCTGGGCACTCGGTGGGTGTTGATCACCTTCAGTACCCAGCCACAGTCAGGCTTCAGCTGTGGGTCCTCTACACTCCAGTACCCGTGTGGCTCTGCACTGTGGCCTGGGCCAGGAGGAGTAGTTGATGGCCCCCCAAAGAGGTTCACGTTTCCTGGCATATGAAGTGAGATTGTAGCCAGTTTGAGTATTTTGAGGATTTAATCTGGAAGTGATTTCTGAAAGCAACCTCTTTTTCCCCCAATAGGATAAAGATAAAGTTTCTCTGACCAAGACCCCAAAGCTGGACCGCAGTGATGGAGGAAAGGAGGTGAGAGAGCGAGCCACCAAGCGGAAGCTGCCCTTTACTGTGGGGGCCAATGGAGAACAGAAGGACTCGGACACAGGTACCACACTGGGCCCCTCCTCCCAGCCCCGCCCCTCCTGGCTCCATGCCGCACGGGCCTATCCAGGCACTGCCTCTTCTTCCCTGCATCGGGCTGATGTGGAGCTGTAGGAAAGCCTTCCCCAGGCTCCTCTGTGGGGCTGCAGCTGCCCTGCTCCGGGTGGACTCCTGGAGGGCCACACACACAGGGATGTGGTTTCCCACATAGATTACGCTCTGTGGCTTGTAGTGAAAGCCAGAGGGAACTCTGAAAGTGCCTTGTGCTCTTCCTAAGCGTAGGTGGGTCTGAGGGTGTCGAGCAGGAGCGTGCAGTGTGTGCGTCCAGGCTGGCCATCTTGAGCTGCTCCTGGAGAGTCTCTCCCAATGGCCTCCCCTCCTGCTGGTCTTCTGAGTTCTCTATAGCCCTAAAAGGTAGGACTGAGGGGCAGCAGAACACCAAGATGGCCCCAAGACCTGAGGTGAACTGGCTGAGGGCCCTGGGCTCCCTCTGGCATCCTTTGGCACCAGGAAGGGAGGCACACACTGAGAACATGAGACTGAACAAACATCCTCACTTGCTTGGAGGAGAGGTGGCTGACGCCGCAGCCTGGAAATGAGTGTCCACCCACAGTTTTCACCAGCAGAGTCCAAGGAACTGCCTTTGGGCTCTTGTGGTGGTCGCAGGTCCTTCTCCCACACTCTAGCACAGAGCTCACAAGAGCTGGGGGAGACTAGCTAGCTGGAGGCCAGCAGAGGGGCTGGTCTCCACCTCAGAGCAGGCAAGTGGCAAGATTGGCAGACATGATTTATGGCATGTTTGGGCACGGACAGACATGTTTGGGCAGAGACGCGGGGGTGGGGCACGGGTCAGGGCCTGGTGGACGTGTGCATGGCGTGCACCTGGAGGAGGTCAGGCCAGGCCTGGAAATCCTAGTCCTGGTTTGGTGCCCTGATGGCATGGCTGTAGCAGGGGTGCTGTTCACAGTTGGTTATTGGCTTTGTATCCCTTTTCTTTTTCTTCTTTGCGGTGCTGGGGATGGAACCCAGGGCCTCGCACAAGCTAGGTGAGCACTCCATTGCTGAGCCACATCCCCAGGCTGGTTATTAGCTCTTTGGACGTAGATTGTGTGAGGTTGGAAGGAGGCCTCTGACAGAAGAGCTGACGTGCACGTACTGGTGCTTCTGCAGCCTGGGAGAGCCCTTTGGCTTGTGGAAGGGGTTACCCATGCCCAAGACCCTGCTGAGCAGCCTTGTCCTGCTGGTCTAGAATGTATCCCGTTCCAATTCGTCACATTTTGATATACTGGTATAAGGAGGCCATTCCCCAGGGGCTCCAGGAGGTCTCAGGGGCCCATTCATTGATGGTGAGCATCTGTGAGGCTCAGACTACCGCACCTTCATTCTGTGGAACCTGCAGAGATCCTTAGCCTGTACCCAGTGTCCATGCAGTTCTGTTGTTCACACTGCATCCTGGTTCCAGCAGGCAGAGGCCCAGCTGGGCACAGGGGAGATTTCGGCCAGGGGAAAGGGAAGGAAGTTTTGTAGTGGATTCCCGCCAGGGCTGTGCGGCAGGATTTGCAGGTGCAATGTGCCTCCTGCTCTGGGGCGGGGTTCTCCCAGGACCCGTTCTGACATGGCCTCCTTGCACCTCTGCTTCCTCATTGTGACAGAATTAGACCTCCCATGAGATGGCGATGCGACTGTGAGTGTGCAGATGGCATCCTGCATTCATTCTTTTGGTGCTGGGGATGGAACCCGGGGCCCCAAATATATGCTTGGCACATGTTGGCACCCTGAGCTGCTCCCCAGCTGGTGACTCTTGGTCTTGCTCCACACCTTCTGCCCGCACTCACCTGTTACCTATCTCCTTCCTTCTCTGCTGAGCTGGGTGCTGAGCTGAGCTCTGAGCTGGGCCCTGGCTCACTGTACCCAGAGGAACAGTGCTTGCTGAGGAAGCGGGAGTGAGAGGCGCATCTGGCTCTGGGGTGGCATCCAGCCGCCTCCCTCAGGAAGGAAAATTTGCACAGAGCAGGGAGATTCATGCAGTGATTTTTTTTTTTTTTTTTTTTTTTTTTTTTTGAAATAAAGAAAGGTTTGTTTTGGCTCACGGCTCTGGAGGCTGGGAAAGCACTGCATCTGTAGGATTTTTATCCTGGTGAAAGAGTGATTGAGAAAAGCACCCCCTGGTCTTCTCAGCTGAGGAGTCTGCCCTCCCTGAAGGGATATGGCTCGGCCCTGGCTGGAGGAAGCCGGGACAGGCAGGTGCAGAGCCTGCACCCCAACCCCACTAGCCTCCTCTTACAGCGCTCCTCCAGCGCCCTCTGCTGAGGAGGGAATCCGCCTCCCACAGACAGCTTCTCTGGCTGTGCCCTGAGAGGCAAGAAGCTGCTGCAGGAGTGGTCTCCTGCTCCCTGACCCCAGTGTGCATGGCCTAGCCCACTGGAGGTACAGCCCCCTGGTACTGAGTCAGGCTGGATGACTTGCCAGGAGCAGTACAGTTGGGCCTGTTGTGAGCAAAACGAGCAGGACCAGCCCCTGAGGTTGTGCGGCACAGCACCATCACCTCTGCTAAGGCCTCTGGGCACAGCAGGAAGCACAGCTGTGGAAGCAGGTCTGGCTGTCTGCGTAGCCAAAGGAAGCTGCCCAGAGATGGTGTTTGCCATAGGCTCAGAAGAAGGGTTAGGGTTCAGCAGACAGCCCTTCCTCAGACCAGGTCAGCCCAAGGAGACTCACCTGCTTCCTTCTGACTTGTTCAGGCCCTCTATCCCTCACTGCCTTGGTCCAGTTTTAGTGGGAAGAGCTTTGTCACCACAAGAACTCATGATGGAATTAATGTCCTGCATTTGCTTCAGATGATACTGTCTGTGCACCCATGTTCCCCATGTCTTAAAAGTCTGTGAACATTGTTAGGTATTCCCTGATGGGGGAGTTCCACACAAGCCTGCCACTCCATCAGCTGTGACCCTTGGTCTCCCTTCTTCCTGCCTGGGACACCAAGAGGGACACACCTGAGAAGAGAAGCCACCGTGTCAGAGAAGTCTGCAGCTGGCGGCTCTGTGGAAGAGGGAACATTGCTTGCTTGGCTTTCCTGGTTGAGCAGGGCACCAGCCCCTGGATATCTACAGCGTGTTGCCATGTATGGTCAGTGGTAGACGTGTTTCCAGGGGTCGCGGCCCCTTTAGCTTTTGCTGGGAAAGGACTGTTCTTGCACCCTAGGAGGGGTGGCAAGGCTGTGCCAGCCAGGACACTGATCCGTGGCTTGCTCCCTAGGTGGAGAGCAGGGTGTGCAGGCCTCCAGCTCGCTGGCTGGGAGCACAGCCAGGGCGGGCTTCTCCACCTCACCATGTGGCTGTGGACAGCAGCCTCGGGCCCCAGTCCCGTTAGCATGGTACTGACAGGCTCCCAGCAGCACCCTGCCAGGTCGCCCCAGGACCCCTCCAGCTTCCCCAAGGCATTACAGGGAGGAGGAGTCTCCCACTGTCTTGAGACCTTGGTGGGTGAGGGTGAGTGGCCAGGTCTTGGTTGCACAGGGAGGATTCTGGAATTGGCCCAAGAACCACCTGTGGGCACTTGGGATGAGACATGTCCAGGTGCAGTGTTTTCCATGATTGAGGTGCCATGTTCAGCTTCTGTCCTGCTGTTTCTTGGCCATTCTTCCCATCTAGACCTGGGCAGTTCCGTTTCTTCTTCAACCAAGGAGAGCATGAACACCAAAGGAACCCTGGGGCCGGTAGTTGGGTCTACAGCATGACACAGTGAGTCAGGGGCCAGCAGACACCCAGCCTAGTGCTCTGCTGGGAGTTTTACAGCTTCTGGAGGGGAACCACATGGGGCTAGGCAGGCACTGGGCCAGGCTGCCTCATCCTGGTGCCCCACTGCGGGCTCTGGGCAACCTGCCCACCTTGAGTTGCCCTGTTAGCTGTGCGGGGAGCAGCTGCAGAGGTGCAGGGCATGTAGGTGGGATGGGTGGGCACAGTGCAGGCCTTGCTGCATGTCCACCTTGGGTCTGCTCACGTCAACATAGCTTCTTGGCTTGTTGTGCTCTTGGTGCCAGTGTCACTTTTCAATTCTGGCCCATCTGCTGCTGCAACCTGTAGTCCTGTGCCTCATGTGAGTCTGGAGATGCAGGGTCAGGCAGCCAGGAGCCACCATGCTACAGGTGAAGGCAAAAGGGGAGAGGACCCAGCCCCTGCCCAGAGGGAGGAGCCAGGTTGAGGCTGGAGACTGGGTCACAGCATATGGCGCTGGGGGTCTTAGCGCACGGTGCAGGGTACAGCACATGGATTCAGGGTCTTTTTTCTTTAAACAATCATTGGCAGTGACAGAAGGAAGAAAAGAGGGGTCAGGAAATGGGATCTAGTGTGGGTGCCAGCTGTAGCCTGGCTGCCGAGGGCACGCCCTGTGGGTCTCTGTTGGTCTCTTCTGGAGTTTCAGCCCAGGCTTAGGGACAGGTTATGGTCTCTTTTGTAACCAGTGATCTGGTGCATAGGTTGTACACCTCTGGGGCTTTATGACATGACCCCAGATGTGGACTGGGGCCGGTGCTTGGTATGGCAGGTTAGGGTTTTGAGGCCCAGGAAAAAGGAAGGGAGCTGTCTGTGACAGGGAACTGCACTGACCAGAGCATGCTTAGCTGATGTGCACAGGGATCTCCTGTTTCAGAACGTCACCATAGCAGTGCTCCTCTGGAGAGCAGAATAAAGAGTGTTCTGCAATGGTGCGTTAGTCTCCCTAATGTTCCCATCTTGGCAGTAAAGTATACTGTGTGCCCTACAGCTTTCTCTCTCTGGAAGAACCTGGAGCTCAGTGCTGCAGGTGCTCTCTGTGAGCTAAGGTGCACGCACCTATTCGCATCCAGGCCCATACCCTGAGGCTGTCCCTCAGGGCCGAGCAGCAGGCCCCATCACTGTGACTCACTGGGCTATTGGGAGGGGCTGTGTCCACAGCCAAGCTCTCAGTCCCTTTTGGCAGGTTCTGAAAAGGAAGGAGAGTCATGCCCTTTCCTCTTGTAGGGCTGGCATTTTGGTTTGTGCTTCCTTATGCCCCTGGAAGTGCCATGTGCCACCTGAGGCCTCTGACTGGAGCTAGGACAAGTGCTAGTGCCCAGGCAGAATGGCAGACTGCAAGGCCTCCTGCTGTCCCAAGAGGCTCTGCAGCCCGAGGGACGTCACACCCTGGAACTACACCGGTGGATTATAAGAGAAGAATTAAAAACAGAAGCAAGAAATAAAAGACTATAAAACATTATGCAGATTTATGGTTGTAAGTATCATATGGAATGTTTTAAAGTGTCAAATGGAAATGAAAGTTATAAACACTGAAATTGAAAACCAGTGTTCAGACTGTGTAGCTAGTTAGGCACAACATAATAAAGAATGAGCTAATTCGAAGTTGTAAGTAAAGAAATGTCGTAGACTGAGGTGTAGAATAAAGACGGGATAGGAGGTATGGACGAAGTGGGAGAAGAGAAGCAGGGGAGAATGGGCTCAGGTTAGGCCAAAGCGGGAGGAAGCAGAATCTAAAGGCTGGCGGCTGAGACCTTTCCAGAGTTCCTGGGAAAGGAGTCTGCATCTGCAGTGGGTAGTGAACGTAAAAGGAAGAAAGCAGTCAGAGGCAAGCCTGTTGTCCTGCGTCCCGGAGACCCAGGAGCGAGAATAGCCAGGAGGAGACGCTGCACAGCTCTGGCCTCCGATCGCAGCCTGGCCACCCCAGCTCTCCTTGTTATCAGAGCACGCTGGGCCTCAGGAAGGTCTTATCCCTTTGGACACAATGGCAGGAAGTGGACTCCTGAAAATAGGCAACCTCAGAACAGACCACCCCTGCCACCCACTCGGAGGGAGGCCACACCCAGCAGTGCTGGGCAGTGGGAGGAGCCAGGGGTCCCAGGCACACGGGTGCAGGCTGAGGGTGGTGTCCCGACTTACATCAGAGGCAGAGAAAGACCGCAGAAGCACAAGGTGCTGCCACATCCCTTGTATCTTGGAGGAGGTGCGTGGGCCGTCCAGCCGGGGCCATCCCTGGAGAAGTGCCACGCTAGCATCTGTCGGGGGAAAACAGGGAATGCCTGGGAATGGGGACCAGTTGCATAGGCTGGAGAGCCTGGCTTGTCCCCTGCTGTCTCCCTGGCCTCTGTGCTGGGCTCTACACCAAGTGCACCCAGCCTGTCAAGCACATCTTGAGGGGACGTGAGGGCCCGTGGACAGCCAGAGACACACAGTGACCTCAAGTGCCCCCTCTGCTGCACTGTAGGCTGCCTGTCTTCCTGGACCTGCCAGTGTTCTACTTTGTAACTTGGAAAAGACCATTTAAAGTTCACTCGCTTCCATTTGGATAATGGAATTTGTGGGTGTCCCCATCAGCATCTAGGAGTGGCTCCTCCTGTTCCCCGCCCCACTTCCTCACCCTTGGTCACGACCCAGCTGGGGCCAGGCTGTGAGGCTGCCTGTGGGAGGTGGGTGAGGGGGCTGTGGCCACTCTGGGTCTTCTGCTGTGGGCATCATCTCAGCCAGGCGCTGAACCCAGGGACAGAAAGTGGATCCTTGTGGGTGCTGATTGCCATGGCTACTTGGAGAAAGCTGCCTATTGTGGAGACAGTGGCTCTCAGGTTATCAGACTGGGTTTTTTCCTGTTAGGACAAACCTTGTTGAAGGTTGGGCAGAGCTGTGTGGGGTGTTCCTGTCAGGGAGAGTCTTGTTCCTGAGGGGTGGGACAGGGCCCCCGAGAAGGGCGTCATGCTCCCCCAGCACCACAGGGGCAGCTCTTGTGGCTAAGCACAGGTGTAAACTCTGTCTGCCCTCACTGGGGCTCAGGAGAAGCCAAGGGACAGTGCTGCTCGTCAGTGGGCCACAGAGGGGGACAGCTGGGTCTCCTTGTCCCTGGAGCCCAGACCCGACTCAGTCACTGTGGCCCTGTCGCTTCCCGCCCACCTGCGTGGCCCACCGTCTGCAGGTCTGGAGCGAGTGTTGTGTGCTGTCCTTCTCTGTCCCTCAGAAGGAAGTGCAGGTGGGCCTGGAACCGAGCAGCCCCAGCCAGCCTCAGGCCAGCCACTGGTGCACTTCCCTGGACTCCTTGGCCATCTTAAAAGGACCATTTGCTGCACGGCTAAGGTGGCAGAGTCACTCAGTCCCAGGAGTGAAAGGCCAGCCTGGGCAGCACCCCGCCGTCCATTCACAACATGGAGGGTGGTCCCCTGGCCTGTGTCCTGTGGAGTCACTGAATGTGATCGTCAGACATCGCCTGCAAGCAGGATCTTGCTGTATCGTGCTATACTGAGGCTCTCGTCGTGTCCTTATGGGGCAGGGTGTGGGGGTTCATGGCCCCCAGAGGTGTTGTCCCCCTGTACTAGGTACCTGGTATAGGGACAGGGCTTGGCTCCACAGAGGTTCTGGGCAGACCTATGGCTCCACGACATGTGGACCCCTCCTCCTGGAGACAGGAGAACTGGTGGGCACTCAGCCCCCACCTCATAGGGATGGCAGGTCCTGGAGCACCAGGAGATGCACCCAGTACTGCCTGGGCTGGGTCTGTCATTGTCAGGACATAGCCACAGGACATGTAAAGGCGTGTGTGTGGCCAGCTCAGTGGCAGGTCAGTGCAGGGACACAGAAGGTGGAAGGCAGGTGCACAGAGAGATCAAATGGAAACCTAATGCCCTGACTCAGTCACTGTGGCCCTGTTGCTTCCACGGGGACCTAGACATATGGGAGGGTGATCTGGCTGCGCCCCTGTCACCTCGTCGGTGACTGAAGTTGACTTGGCTATTCCAGCTGGTGTGGCAGGTGCCCCTGCCCTAGCCACTCCACATGCATCCCTCCTGAGGCTGCGTGCTGGGTTGAGAAGATGGCCTTCCCTCCCTGGTTGAGGGCGCTGAGTAGCTGTGGCCCTGCCCCAGCCTGCGGAGGAGCTGTATATTCTGCAGGCCTGGTCCAGGCCCCCTTGGGAGGACCTTCCTTTCTCCAACCTGTGTGGCACGGCTGGCTCTAGAACTGCTGGGCATCTGGGGTTCAGGCAGCTTTGCTGAGCGGTTGGCACCCTCAGGCACATGCTGAAACACGCAGCCTGCATTCCCAGTGAGTCACAGATTGGGTTTTTAAAGAGGCAGCCTAACCTCTCTACAGGACACCTTGGTGGCAGAGCAGTGGGGCGGAGCAGAGCTGAGCAGGCAGCCCTCTGGAGACCAGCATCTTGCGGGACCCCAGACGTGCAGTCCACTCAGGCCACCTCCTCACTGCCACCCACTCCCTAGGGGCAGACTCTGGTCACCAAGGAAGCAGTTTAGTCCTGCAGAGGGGCTCCGTGGAAGTGAGGGATGGAGAGAAAGAGGGCATGCTCAGACCTGCATTTCCCACAGCGGTCCTCCCTGCTACTGCGGCTGCCCCCCCACCCCCCACCCCCCACCATGGCCACAGAGATCCCTGAATCGTCTTGGCCCTGCACCGGGCTTCCAGAACAGCAGGGTGTTGAGCAGCCAGGGTCTTGCTCCTGGCCTCCATTACAGCAGGTGCTGGGCAAGGAACAGTGTGGGGTATTCACCGCAGTCATGGAGTCTGGGGTGTCTGCTCCCCACCCCACCTCTTAGGAGCAGCAGCACAGTCTCCGTGCTGGAGGCTGCAGGGTGTTGCGTCATGGGTCAGAGGCGCCCAGGACTTGCTTGTCAGGAGGAGGCAGAGGTGGAAGGAGAAAGCTGTTTCGCCGTATCTCGTTAGTGCTCTGTGTTGATACCTTCAGATGCCTCCAGCTCAGTCCATGTTGTGGTACTGCAAGGCTGGTACGCTCCTCGAAGCACCACGGCATGAAATGGAGGTTCCTAGAAGCAAGAAGAAAGGTACAGTACTGACAAGTTGGCCTTGATTTATTTATGTATTTTAAACTGTGTCTGCCATTTTACATCTGCATTGTTTGTTTGGAGGAGGGCTGGGAAAGAGGCGTTAAACTGCAGACACGTGTGCTGCCAGGGCAGCAGTGCCGACCGTCCGCTGCTCCCGCCCGCGGGTCGGAGGCGGCTGCGGTGAGCAGACGTTGGTGGAGGCCAAGGTTCAGCAGACCCGGTGGGCTGGCAACAGGGTGTCAACTGTGTCTCTCACAGCTGCTGCTCTCAGGTGGGGCGGTGCCGGCGCTGCCAGCCACTGTGCCTTGTCCCTCGCAGGCCTCCCTACTGCTCTGTGAGTTGTTGGGCGGGACGCAGGGGCTCTGGAATGCCAGGCAAGGCCCTGGCTCTGAGGACTTGGCATGAAGTCTCCTCTCCTCTCCTCTCTCCCCCACCCATTGCACAGAGAAACAGGGTCCTGAGCGGAAGAGGATCAAGAAGGAGCCTGTCGCCCGCAAGTCTGGGCTGCTCTTCGGCATGGGGCTGTCTGGGATCCGAGCAGGCTACCCACTCTCTGAGCGCCAGCAGGTGGCTCTCCTCATGCAGATGACAGCGGAGGAGTCTGCCAACAGCCCAGGTGAGCCCTGGGGCCTTGGGCCTGGGAAGCACAGGGTCTGCTTGGTATGGGGCCCCGTGCAGAACCCCTTCACCTTGTGGAAGCGGCCAGGTTCTCCAGGCCTCCACCACTCGGCGCCTCCTCCAGTAACGCCCCACCTGTCCCCTTGGCCTGCAGTAGACACCACACCAAAGCACCCCTCCCAGTCTGCAGTGTGCCAGAAGGGAACGCCCAGCTCTGCCTCAAAAACCAAAGACAAAGTCAACAAGAGGAATGAGCGGGGCGAGACCCGCCTGCACCGTGCTGCCATCAGGGGGGATGCCCGGCGCATCAAGGAGCTCATCAGCGAGGGCGCTGATGTCAATGTCAAGGACTTCGCAGGTAGGTGCTCATGCCCTGCCCATAGGCAGAAGCAGACGCCGCCAGGCCCTTGTGTGTATGTGGACAAGGCTAGTCCTGAGAGGGAGGATTCTCTGGGGAAGGACTTCAAAATACAATCTTTGTTTTTTTATTTCTAAGAGAACTGGGGTTTTTTTAAGTATCTCCCTGCTGCTGTGTCTGCCAGGCACAGCTCCAGGCTCCTGGGGGGGGTCTTGCCCACTGTTTTTAGATGCAGCGTGCACACCTCAGCAGAGGGCGCCTCTATACTGTGACTGGGCACTCGGGTCTCGGCCTGCCCCACTTGCCCTATTAGGGACACTGGGAGGCACTTTTAAGTGAAACAGAGCAGAGGCGCCTCTCCAGACCTGGCACGGGCTCGTGGTGAGAGTCTAATGCTGCCTGCTACCTAGCTGCCCTGTGGGGGGCCTGGCTCCACAGCTTCCCTGCGGGTGAGCCCTGCTGGCACACCAGTGCTGGATGCTGCACTCGGCTTCCCTGGCAGAGGGCCTCCCTGCAAGTCCGAGTCAGGGCCTCACGCCCTCCGTGACTGCCTTCTTAGCCTGTTTCTCTGGTGCTAGTTAACAAGAGCTGTGCCGGCGCAACTTCTATCCCATGGGCCAAGGCTGGCAAGCTGGGTGTCAGTTGCAAACAGGTGCAGGAGTGTGGCTCTTGAGGACTCAGTGACACACGTGCTAAGTGTCTGCTTCTAGGCTGGACAGCGCTGCACGAGGCCTGCAACCGTGGCTACTACGACGTCGCCAAGCAGCTGCTGGCCGCAGGCGCAGAGGTGAACACCAAGGGCCTGGACGACGACACACCACTGCACGACGCTGCCAACAACGGGCACTATAAGGTTGGCACCTCCTGCCCCCCCCCCCGCTCCTGCAGCCTGCAGCCTGCAGGCTACCCTGAGGCTTGGCTGCACTGCCTGGAGCACTTGCTTGTAGGGGTACCCTCCACCCTTGGCCAGGCTGGATCTTGCACAGGAACATCTGTCCCCAGTAGGAAGATGGCAGTGTGTGCTGCTAATCCCGTCGTCCTCACTATGGTCCATTCCACAGGGAGGGCAGGTCCAGGTCTGGACCATGGGAGGCTGAGGCCAGGCCCACCCCAGGCTCTGCCTCCTGGGCCAGGCTTGCCTCCAGCTCTGAGGCAAGATACACACAGGATGAGCCGGCTGTGCTGCTTCCTGCTGAGGGGACACCTTTGCCAGAGCCCCTTGAGCCACAGCCACAGGCAGGACAGTCCTGGCAGGTGAGGATGGTGGTGCCTTGGCACATACCACATCTGCCGAGTTCTTGGTGTTCCTACAGAGCAGCCCCTGCCTGGCTGTTCTGGAAGGGTTTCAGGAAGCCATGACTCTGGGGAGAGGGGTTGCTGCAGGGGAGGGGCGGCCAGGAGGGTTCCTAGGGAGGTCTTGACTTTGGCCCCACGTTTGACAGAGGAGCTGCTGTTCCAGTGGTAGGTGAGAGGATGGCGTCATAGCGCGCTTTGGGGGCTTTGTTTTTGTGTCCTTTCTTTCCTCCCATACTGGGGCTTGAACCCAGGGGTGCTTAACCACTGAGCCACAGCCGTAGCTCTTCTCATTTTGAGATAGGGCCTCGCTGAATTATTGAGGCTGGCCTTGAACTTGTGATCCTCCTGCCTCCCTAGTAGTTGGGACTCTGGGTGTAGCTACTACACCCAGCTTGTTTGTTTTTTTTCAAAAGGGTCATTTTAGCGAAAGGGACTTCAGTAGAAAATACAGTATCTGAGATTTACTAAGAAAAACTTTCTGGGGGTGGGCAGGTGTGAGTCTGTAGTGAACCTGGCTAAGAGTAGAGAGGGTCACAGTCTGGACCTCTGCACTCCTGGGATGTGTCAGCCACTGTGGAAACAGGGAGGCTGGCAGGATGGTGGCCCTTTGGGGAGGCCTGCTGGGGACAGGAGGCAGAAGGGACAGGAGGGACTTGGCCTGTGTTGGCCTTAGGGTAGGCCCAAGGCTGAGGCACCTGGTGACCTCCACCAGCAAGATATAGCCAGGAACCCACTTTGGCCATCAGCCACCTGAGGAAGGAGGCCGAGCCAGCGAGACTGGCTCCCCAGACCTGAGGTGGGTCGTGCCCTCTGTCGTAGCCGCAGCTGCAAACGCAGATGTGTAGGTGCTGCTGACCTGCGGCCAGTGGGACGCTGAGAGAGGAGACAGCCATTGTGAGCACCTGGTGGCCACAGCCACCCCCACCGCAGCAGGGCGCAGGCAGATGAGACACAGGTTGCTGATCGTAATGATTGAACCAGGCTGTCGCACACCACCAGAGCACTTCCGTCCCTCATAGCCACCCTCCATGTGACTCCAAGCAAGGAAGAGATGGCCTTATTTTCTAATGTAAATGAAAATAAATAAACCAGCTTGCAGAAACTTTGTCTTTGTTCCCTCTATTCTGTACCCCACGATCTCCTCCATCCGCCAGAGCTGCGCACCTGTGGACCCCGCCCGCTGCTGGGCTCACTGTGGCGGGAGGGGGGTCTTGCTGAGAAGATTCCAGGAAGCGGTGCACAACTTGCAGAGGAGCACCAGAGAAAAATGGAAGGCAGTGAGGGCGGAGGAGCCTCCTGTGGAAGAGGACGGCCAGCAGGGTGCACCCAGGGACACGGCCAGCGGCTGCTGAAGGGCACTTAATGGCCGGCTGCTGGGCGGAGCGGTCCCCCAGGGGAATCCTGTGTTGGCCGAGAGGCTCCCTGACGTGGCTGTCGTGTCTTGCAGGTGGTAAAGTTGTTGCTGCGGTATGGAGGAAACCCTCAGCAGAGCAACAGGAAAGGGGAGACCCCGCTGAAAGTTGCCAACTCCCCAACTATGGTGAACCTGCTGCTGGGCAAAGGCACGTACACCTCCAGCGAGGAGAGCTCCACGGGTAAGCCTGGCTGTGGGCGGACAGCGGGGCGGGCCTCCCCTGCCACGGGCAGCCCTGCAGCATCTGCATGTGGTGTTTCCCTGCAGATGGCCACGCAGGGTCTCCCAGCCTCCTGGGGGCCTGGCGCCTTCAGGAACTCCGGACTGCAGGAGCCACACCTGGGGCCTGGCTGTCGAGAAGCCGCGGTCTCTGCCGGGAGGCCAGCCCCACCTCTGAGCAGACTTCTCGGTTCCCTCTGCTGTGGCTGGCCTCAGATGGGATAGATCAAATGACGTGCTTCTCCAGAAGCAGGGGCTGGCCAGCCCTGCCCTCCTGGGTGACCACGCATCCGGGGAGGCCCTTCCTTGCTGCAGCGGCAGAGCTGCCCCACCCTGATCTGGGAGAGTGGCTCTGAGCCTGCCTGACCTCTCCCTTCCTGTCCCCACAGAGAGCTCCGAGGAGGAGGACGCCCCATCCTTTGCACCTTCCAGCTCAGTTGATGGCAACAACACAGACTCCGAGTTTGAGAAGGGCCTGAAGCTCAAGGCCAAGAACCCGGAGCCTCAGAAGACTGTGACGCCTGTCAAGGACGAGTATGAGTTTGATGAGGACGATGAGCAGGACAGGGTCCCTCCCGTGGACGACAAGCATCTGCTGAAGAAAGACTATAGGAAAGAACCCAAGGCCAGCAGCTTCGTGTCGATCCCCAAGATGGAGGTCAAGAGCTATGCCAAGAACAGCACCACCGCGCCAAAGAAAGCCGCCCATCGTATCCTGTCCGACACCTCAGACGAGGAGGAGGCCGGCCTGGCTGTGGGCGCGGGGGAGAAGCTGAGGCTCTCGGCGCACACAGTCCTGCCTGGCTCGAAGGCCCGCGAGCCCCCTGCGCCCAGGCAGCAGAAGGAGAAGAGCAAAGTGAAGAAGAAGCGGAAGAAGGAGGCCCGGGGCAAGGAGGTGCGTCCTGGGAAGAGGAGCGACAAGCTGTGCTCCTCCGGGTCCGAGCGTGCATCCTCCGAGAGCGAGGAGGACGGGGACTCGGTGGGGAGCACGGGCTGCCGCAGGGGCTCCCCACTGGTGCTGAAGGACCCGTCGCTCTTCAGCTCCCTGTCGGCCTCCTCCACCTCATCCCATGGCACCAGCCACGCCGACCAGCACAGCAAGCACTGGCGCGCGGACAGCTGGAAGGCCGTGTCCTCCCCTGCCTGGTCGCAGGTCAGCTCGCTGTCGGACTCATCAGGCACCGGCCTGACAAGCGAGTCGGACTGCTCCTCCGAGGGCTCCAGCGTGGAGTCCCTAAAGCCCGCGAGGAGGAAGCAGGAGCACCGCAAGAGGGGCAGCCTACAGAGCATGGCTCCCGAGAAGAGGGGCGGCTTCCACCCCAGCGTGGACGGCGCCGTGCCCAAGCTAGACAAGGAGGGAAAAGTCGTCAAGAAGCACAAGACGAAACACAGACACAAAAACAAGGAGAAGGGGCCGTGCCCCGGGCAGGAGCTGAAGCTGAAGAGCTTCACCTATGAGTACGAGGACCCCAGGCCCAAGGCCGACAAGGCCGCCCTCCTGGACAGCGACGTCTCCACGGAGGGCAGGCTGCGGCTGTTAAAGCATGACCGAGACCACCTCAAGAGGGAGGAGAGGCTGGGCAGGACGAAGCCCGAGGAGCAGGAGTGGCTCTTCAGAGACGAGAAGCCACTAAAGAGGATCAAGGACGTGGGCAGGGACGGCGGCAGGGCCTTCCGGGAGGAAAAGGACCGGGCTGGCAGGGCTGAGCGGGAGAGGCTGGGCAAGGAGAGGTCCCCCAAGGAAGAGAGGCTGCGGCCGTACAAGGAGGAGAGGAAGAAGAAGGCCCGGGACCGGCCCCCCAAGCCGGAGAAGAAGGGCGAGGCCAAGGAGAAGGCCTTGAAGGAGGACAAGGAGAGGCTCCGGAGGGAGAGGGCCTACAGGGAGGACGCAGCCTTCGACGACTGCTGCCACCGGGGCCACTTCCTGGAGAGCGAGGACACCAAGCTCAGCCTGTCCGACGACCAGCAGGACAGGTGGCTTTCAGACCTCTCCGACTCCTCCTTTGACTTCAAAGGGGAGGACAGCTGGGACTCCCCAGTGACAGATTACAGGGACATCAAGAGTGACTCTGTGGCCAAACTTATCTTGGAAACGGTGAAAGAGGACAGTAAGGAGAAGAAGCGGGACAACAAGGGCCGGGAAAAACGAGATCTCAGAGACTCTTTCTTCCGAAAGAAGGACCGGGACTACTTGGACAAGAGCTCGGAGAAGAGGAGGGACCAGGTGGAGAAGCACCGGAGCCTTCCCAGCTACCTCCCCGACAAGGACAAGAAGAGGAGGGAGTCCTTGGAAGGCGCACGGGACCCACGGGACCGGAGAGACGCCCTGGAGGGCTCCAGGGAGCGGAAGGAGGTCCGCCTGCGGCCAGAGGAGCCGCACAGGGAGGAGCTGAAGGAGTGCGGCTGCGAGGGCGCCTTCAAGGACAAGGCCGACTGCGACCTCGCCAAGAGCCTGGAGTCCTGGGAGCGGCACCACGCAGCTCGGGAGAAGGAGAAGAAGGAGAAGGCTCGCTCCGAGAGGCACAAGGACAAGTCCAGCGACAGGGACCGAGGCGAGAAGTGTCCGAAGGACAGAGACTCTGACAGATGCCTCAAGGAGAGGAAAGACGGCAAGGAGAAGCACAAAGACAAGGACACACACGGCAGAGACCGAGACAGGAGGGCCGGCCTCGAGCAGGCCCGGGAGAGGAAGGACAAGGCGCACTTCCCCGCAGCCGCCTCCGAGGACGCCTCTGAAAAGAGGGAGGAGAAGAAGGGGAAGGAGAAGAGCTGGTACATCGCAGACATCTTCACGGATGAGAGCGAGGAGGAGAAGGAGGAGTACCTGGCCAGCGGGCTGCGGCCAGGGGAGGCCTGCGAGGCCCCCAGGGCGGATGCCCTCCAGGAGAGGGAGGACGGGAGGGAGCCGCCCGTGGCAGACAGGCACAGGAAGTGCCCCTCCGACAGGCCGCACGAGAAGCCCCGGGACAAGGAGCCCAAAGAGAAGAGGAAGGACAGGGGTGCCCCCGAAGCCGGCAGAGACAAGAAGGAGAAGGCCTTGGAGAAGCACAGAGAGAAGAGGGACAAGGACCGCAAGGACCGGGTCCTGGCCGACGCCCCCCAGGAGAGGCGCAGCAGGCAGAGGCCACCCGAGAAGGTGGAGAGGAAGCACCCCGGGGAGGACAGGGCCAAGGGCAAGCACAAGGAGAAGCCGGACCGGGAGCGGAGGGCCTCGCGGGGCGCGGAGGCGGAGCGCAGCCTGCTGGAGCGGCTGGAGGAGGAGGCGCTGCAGGAGGGCAGGGAGGAGGCGCACGACAAGGCCAGCGAGGGCTCCTCTGACAGCTTTGCCGACCGCGGCCCCGAGCCCGGCCTGAGCGCCCTCCTAGAGGTGTCCTTCTCAGAGCCGCTGGAGGACAAGGCCCGGGAGGGCCCCGGCCTCGCGGAGAGGCTGAGGGAGAAGGAGCGGCACCGGCACTCCTCCTCCTCCTCCAAGAAGAGCCACGACCGCGAGCGGGCCAAGAAGGAGAAGGCCGAGAGGAAGGAGAAGGCCGAGGACTACAAGGACGGGGGCAGGAGGGAGCCCGGCCAGTACGAGAAGGACTTCCTGGACGCCGAGGCCTACGGCATCGCCTACGCCGCGAAGGTGGACGGCGAGGAGGAGCTGGACAAGGCCACCGACGGGTTTTCTGAGAAGAGAGAGAGGAGCGAGCCCGAGAGGGAGCCTCCCAAGAAGGTGGAGAAGGAGCTGAAGCCGTTCGGGTCCAGTGCCCTCGGCTCCCTGAAGGAGAAGAGGAGGAGGGAGAAGCGCAGGGAGCGGTGGCGGGAGGAGAAGGACAAGCACAGGGACAGGCACCACAAGGAGGAGCCGCGGCCCACCGTCCGGGACAAGGAGAAGGGCAGGGAGGAGGCCCTGAAGCTGGGTGAGGCCAAGGCCAAGGAAAAGCCCCGAGAGGGTGCAGAGAAGGAGAGGGGAGACCCCACCAAGATCAGCAACGGCATGGACAAGCTGCCGCCACCCAGAGACCCAGGCAAGAAGGACGCCAGGCCCCGGGAGAAGCTGCTGGGGGACGGCGACCTGATGATGACCAGCTTTGAGCGGATGCTGTCGCAAAAGGACCTGGAGATTGAGGAGCGGCACAAGCGGCACAAGGAGCGCATGCGGCAGATGGAGAAGCTGCGGCACAGGTCTGGGGACCCCAGGCTCCGGGAGAAGGCAAAGCCCGCGGACGACGCGCGCAAGAAGGGCCTGGATGCCGCCCCCAAGAAGCCCCTGGGGCTGGACCCGCCCTTCAAAGAGAAGAAGGCCAAGGAGTCAGCTGCGACGCCACCTGTTCCTGAAAGCAAGCCCCCTCCGGGACTGGGTGCCGAGGCCAAAGACTGGTCAGCAGGGCCGCCCCTGAAGGAGGCCCTGCCCGCCTCGCCCCGGCCCGAGCAGAGCCGGCCCGCCGGGGTGCCCACTCCAACCTCGCTGGTGTCGGGTCCCAGCTACGAGGAGCTGCACACGCCCAGGACCCCGTCCTGCAGTGCCGACGACTACCCCGACCTGGTGTTCGACTGTACCGACACCCAGCACCCGCTGCCCACCACCAGCGCCTGCTCCCCCCCGCTCTACGACAGGTTTTCTGTGGCCTCGGGCGGGACTTCAGATCACCCGGGCCAGACGCCCACGAGGCCCGTCCCCACAAACCTGTACCGCTCCATCTCCGTGGACATCAGGAGAACCCCTGAGGAGGAGTTCACTGTGGGGGACAAGCTGTTCAGACAGCAGAGTGTTCCTGCCGCCTCCAGCTTCGACTCTCCCGGCCAGCACTTGATGGAGGACAAGGCTGCCCTGCCACCTGTTCCAGCAGAGAAGTTTGCCTGCCTGTCCCCTGGCTACTACTCCCCTGACTATGGCCTCCCCTCACCCAAAGCTGCCACGGTCAGCAGCGCACCTTCCCCAGAGGCCGTGTTCCCTGGCCTAGCAGCCAAGCCCTCCCCTGCCACTAGGGGCGACCTCTTGGCCCCAGCCATCGAGGGGGCCCTGCCCCCGGACCTGGGCCTTCCTCTGGATGCCACAGAGGACCAGCAGGCCACAGCAGCCATCATCCCTCCGGAGCCCAGCTACCTGGAGCCCTTGGACGAGGGCCCCTTCAACGCTGTCATCACCGAGGAGCCAGTCGAGTGGGCCCATCCTGCCGCGGAGCAGGCCCTTCCCTCCGCCTTGATGGCCAGTGCCTCTGAAAGCCCCGTCAGCTGGCCCGTGGGCTCCGACCTTCTGCTGAAATCTCCACAGAGGTTCCCAGAGTCCCCCAAGCACTTCTGTCCTGCGGAGAGCCTGCAGCCCACTGCTCCAGGACCCTTCAGCACCTCAGAGCCCCCGTTCCCCGTGTCCCCCAGCTCCTACCCCTTGCCAGCCACCGAACCGGGCCTGGAGGAGGTCAAAGACGATGGGGCGGCAGCCATCTCCGTGGCCGTCTCCACCACAGAAGGGGCCACTGCGTATGCCACGCCTGCCAGACTGGAGTCTTTCTTCAGCGGCTGCAAGTCACTCCCTGAGGCACCTCTTGACGTGGCCCCTGAGCCCACATGTGTCACCACGGTGACCCAAGTGGAGGCTCTGGGGACCCTGGAAAGCAGCTTCCTGGACGGTGGCCACAGCCTGTCTGCCCTCAGCCAGGGCGAGCCAGTGCCCTGGCATGACGCCTTCACCAGCCCCGAGGATGACCTGGACCTGGGGCCCTTCTCGCTGCCCGATCTCCCCCTCCAGCCCAAAGACGCCTCAGATGTCGAGACTGAGCCCGTGGAAGGGAGTCCCGTCCCACCAGAGGAGAGCGCCCCTGGGGCTGAGGGGCAGCCCATACTGCCTCCTGACCAGGCCTCTCCCCCACTTCCCGCCGAGTCTGAGCCCTCAGAGGAGCCAAAGCTGGACGTGGTTCTCGAAGCCGCGGTGGAGGCAGAGACTGTGGCAGGTGAGAGGACCCCCGAGGACTTGGACTCTGGCTCGGCACTGGCCCCTGGCCCTCCCGAACAGTGTCCCCTGGGGGGCGGAGCTGAGGAGACCAAGACTGAGGACCCCTCCACCACTCCCCGTCATGCACCCGACGGCCCTGCTACTGATGGCACGGCACAGACGCCTGACAGTGCTGAGGTCACCCCTGCTGCCATCCCCGTGGAGGGGCCCCCAGGCAGCCTCCAGCCAGAAGCTACGGATCCAGAGCCCAAGCCCACGGCCGAGCCCCCGAAAGCCCCCAAGGTGGAGGAGGTCCCTCAGCGCATGACCAGGAACCGCGCTCAGATGCTGGCCAGCCAGAGCAAGCAGAGCACGCCTCCTACGGATAAGGAGCCCGCCCCCACGCCCACCCCAGCTGCCAGGGCCAAAGGCCGTGCCTCTGAGGAGGAGGATGCCCAGGCCCAGCACCCCCGCAAGCGCCGCTTCCAGCGCTCCAGCCAGCAGCTGCAGCAGCAGCTGAACACAAGCACGCAGCAGACGCGGGAGGTCATCCAGCAGACGCTGGCCGCCATTGTGGACGCCATCAAGCTGGATGACATTGAGCCCTACCACAGTGACAGGTCCAACCCCTACTTCGAGTACCTCCAGATCCGAAAGAAGATTGAGGAGAAGCGCAAGATCCTCTGCTACATCACGCCCCAGGCACCCCAGTGCTACGCCGAGTACGTCACCTACACCGGGTCCTACCTCCTGGACGGCAAGCCGCTCAGCAAGCTGCACATCCCTGTGGTGAGTACACCCTGCCTGCCTGCACGCGCACACCCTGGCGTAGGTCTCTGGGGCCACCTCACGGCCTCCGGGATCAGGAGAGCTGCCAGGGTCTGTGTCTCCATGGATGGATGGCCACTGGCCCCCAGCCCCAGCGTTTCTGCAGCTGCTTTCTCTGAGCGGCGGGGCCCTGGTGGGCACCCCTGCACAGCCCATCTTTGTGGCTCGCTGCTGGGACTGCCCTTCACATGGAAAGCCTCCGCAGAGTCTCACCTGCATCCCTCCCGTCCCGTCGCTGTGTCTCTCTGGAGCCTCGAGCACCTCAGCGGGTCCCACCTGCTCTGCCCGTCTCCCCTGCGCGCCTCCAGCAGGCTCCCCACAGCATGTCAGGCCCTACCAGGGCCTGGGCCTTCCTAGACAGGCTGCTTCCCACTTGTCCTCTGGGGTCTTCTCAACTGCAGAGGCAAAGGAAGCTCTTCTCCATCTCTGGCCGTGATGAGCCCCCAGGCCCCTGGGGCCTCTCCCCTCACTGCATAGCTGACTTTCTGTGTGGCCACCTACCCGTGGAGGAAAAGCCAGGGCTTCTGTTGTTTCCTCTCTGGGCCTGGCTGGACTCCGTCCTGGTTGCGGAGCAGAGGCCTTCTGACCTGCAGGTGGAATGAGGAAGACGGTGCTGCAGGGCCTTGCTCCCTCACAGGCTGCTGCTGGACAGGAAGCACAGCTGCCTGGTGTCCCCTCTGAGCGAGGGTGGGTGTTGGACGTGGGCTTCTGCTGGGTTTTCCTGGAAGGGGCTGAGCTCAGCAGCAGCAGGGCCAGGCCATGCTGGAGCCATGTGTTCCCCCAAGGGGCATCCAGGAGCGCTGAGCCCTGAGCCCTGCAGGAGGACTGCACAGATGATGGTGTGGGCCCCTGCATTCAGAAAAGTCAGGTCTGAAGTGTCTGTTCAGTAAGACCTCTTCCTACTTTCTGTGGCTGCATTTATGTCCCCAAACAGTGACGGGGCTGCTGTGAGAAATTGGAGGGAAAGTAAAGGACCAAAGGTTGTGCTAGCCCTTCCCACAGCCCAGCCTTCAGTGTGGGCTCCTCCCTGTCTCCACCTCATCCTGCAGACCCTTGGGTGACGCGGGCACACGCCTGCCGCTGTGTCGGGTATCCTGGCACATCCAAGTCCCTCAACCCATCTGGGCCCATCAGGGGACGAGATGGGCGAGGTTTGAAGGCTGCAGAGACCTAGCTGCATCTTCTGTTTTGAAATGATTTTAGATTCACAGAGAAGCCCACAACTCAGAGCCTCAGAATGCTTGTAGAGCCATCCTGGTGCTGTCTGTGGGATATCTGGTTCTGTGGTGGGCACAAGACCCTCTTGGGCAGTGCTGATCATCAAGTGTCCCGTGATGGGACCGAGACCCGTGTCAGGGGCTGGATCCCCATAGTCACGGCCTGGTGGGCACAGCTGGAGGGTTTCTGGTGTCTGGCTTCTTCTGGTCATTGGGACTAATCTGAAGCCGTTAGGTCGGGTGCCTGGGCCTGGCTTCTCTGCCAGAAACGCTGTCTTCTTCTCGTTTGTTCCAGTCTCGGGGAAGACTTCAGGGCTGGATGTGGATCCTTTTTTTCTCACAATCTTGCCCCTGACAACGCCCTGCAGCAGTGTCTCTGCTGTGTTTCCTGTAGCCGGGGACCCTGTCCATGCCTCAGGGTCTTGCTGCTCGATGTTCTGCTGTCCGCAGGAGCCTCCGTGGGCCTGTGGTTGATCTCAGCATCATCACATATCACCAGACTGCCCAGGGCCTGCGGCTGCCACTGTCTATTGCAGATGCCCTCCGGCCCGCCCCAGCCTTGCCTTCTCTGCCAGTTCCTTCCATGGTCGGAGCAGGCACCACACATCTGCCCAGGTCCTATGCACACTGCGGGTTTTTTGTGTGCCAGCTCTGGGAGCCTGACCTCCAATTCCTAAGAGCGGAGGCCTGTTCCTCGTCACCTGTGGTGTACACGCTTTGCCTGCTGGTGTCTGGCCACCATGGTCAGCCTCAGAGCCTCCCCCATGGGGACTGGGGTGGGCTCTCTTCCCTTCTCAGCAGCCAGGCAGCCTCAGGCACTGGCGTCCAGGTTCCATTTTGGGTGCGTAGGCCCTCACTGGACCCCACGGGGCTCCCTACTCCTGCTGTGCTGCTTTGGCACATAGGGTACGCACACCTCTCTCTCCTCCCCCTTGCCAGCAGGTGCTGTGTGCCCTGCCTTCTCCCTCACCGTCTCCTTGCTGTGCAGGGTCAGAGGTGCTTCTCAGGAGGTGCCTGGGTGGGTGGGTGCTCTGGGCAGGGCTCCGACCCCACTGACCCATTCCCCTTGTGCATGCAGATTGCACCCCCCCCTTCCCTGGCGGAGCCCCTGAAGGAGCTGTTCAAGCAGCAGGAGACGGTGCGGGGAAAGCTGCGTCTACAGCACAGCATCGAGCGGGTAAGAGGAGGTCCAGGCACGGGGGCCACTGCTGGGGGCCTGCGCTCACCCCTCCTCCCCCTCGCAGGAGAAGCTGATCGTGTCGTGTGAGCAGGAGATCCTGCGGGTGCATTGCCGGGCGGCCAGGACCATCGCCAACCAGGCAGTGCCTTTCAGTGCCTGCACGATGCTGCTGGACTCTGAGGTCTACAACATGCCTCTGGAGAGCCAGGTGGGTGACCCAGCGGGGCCAGGGGCCCAGGACCTCTCCTTCCTAGAAGAGCCGGCAGGCCTCACACGCCAGGCAGCATGGCAAGCACGGATCCAAGCGCTACGCTTGGAGCAGGACTGCCCCAGCTTCCCGTACTTGGCACACTGGGACCCAGGTGTCCCCCAGACTGCTGGACAGGGCCTCAGCCAGTGTGCAGCTCTGAGTCCTAAACTTCCCCTGGGACACTTGCGAAGCCAGGGTGAGCCGCTGCCCTCCCCGTTGAAGGCCCCAGCGGGTCGGGGTTTCCCAGCTGGACCTGTGCAGCCCAGGCTGTGCCAGCCAGCCCGCCCTTCCCCTGCTGTGAGCAGTGCTTGGCTGGGGGCCTGGGGCAGGCTGGAGCTGCATGACCCAGGACTGCCTTGCCTCCCACAACCACTTCGAGTGCTAGCCTCGAGCCCGTGGCCTGTCACTGACTGCGTGGCAATACTCCGGAGCTCACCTGGGGACTCCCAGCCTTGGGGAGCGTTTCCAGTGTCTTGACCTTTCCGTGTCCATGGCTTTATGCTGGGACCTCTGGACGGATGCCCTGGGTCCCACGAGCCCCGGAGCCTGGGTGGGCTCCAGTTAAAACGTTCCTAGTGTGTTAAAGCTCCCCTACCCCAAGGACGTAGATGCTTTCCCATTTATATGTTACACACAGGTTTTCTTTAAAGCAGAGCAGGAGTGTTTTGTGAATATTTGGAAGTTTTGCTCTTTGCGTCAAAAAGAAAAAACCACTAAGTAATTTCCTGGGTCTCTTGAAGGTCCAAAGGAAAAAACGGTCTCTCTCTCTCTCTCTCTTTTTTTTTTTTTATTAGTATGGATAAACATACTACCTTTATGTGTTTATTTTTATGTGGTGCTGAGAATAGAACCCAGTGTCTCACACATGCTAGGCAAGCGCTCCACCACTGAACCACAGCCCCAGCCTAAAAGACAGTCTCCTGATGGTCAGGCTGAGGCCTCTTCTGCAGTACCTTGCTGACAGTCTGGGCACGAGGTGCACAGAGGCCACCGACCTTCTGTTCTCAGAGCCTTTGGCATGTTCTTTCCAGGGTATGCAGGGGAGGCTGGGCACCTCCTTCCCAAGGGTGCCTGTGCCTGGTCCACAAGTACAGACCCATTTGTTGGGGTGAAAGTGGGGCTATGTGTGAGGAGGAAGCGGTCAGGACCACAGGACATGGAAGCCAGTGGGGAGGGCAGAACCAAGCTGCCCAGGGCCTGCAGCTCCCACCTCAGAGAAGGGAGGTGTGTTTCTGGAAAGTGGGGAGGTTGCCCGGGCACCACCAGCAGCTTCGTGTGATCCCTGTGCCATCTGTTTGAGCCTCTGGAATGGAGACTAGGGTCGAGGGACCTTACTCCATCCCACCCAGGACACGAAGCACCCCACTGGAAAGCCCCACCGAGGCACAGCCCCTGTCAGCACTGCTGTGCCAGGGCAGGTCCCGAGTGGCTGCTGGGGGCTGCTGGGGGCTGCTGATGCCCAGGAACAGCCTCTCCAGGGAAGATGGGGGCGGGGGGGGGGTCATCCCCTTGGCCCTGGACCAGGGTCACCTCCTGAGGTGACCACACCTCTGCTGGTCACCTCCCCAGCCCTCTTCCTCCAGACACACCTCGTTTGATTGACAGGGCGACGAGAACAAGTCCGTTCGAGATCGCTTCAATGCCCGCCAGTTCATCTCCTGGCTACAGGACGTGGATGACAAGTACGACCGAATGAAGGTGGGTGCCGCAGGCCGGTGGCTGGACACTGTGCATGCCTTGCCAGCCCTGCCCGCCCCCCACCAGCACACCACTACTAGCAGCCATGTGACTTGCCAGTTTTGCAGTTTCAGCTGCCCTGGGTCCCAGCCATCACCTGGCTCAGTGGGAGGCACAGTCACAACAGGCCACTGCGGTTTACACAGCCTGGGGGTGGGGTGGGGGGCTGCTGCACCCTCTCTACCTGTGTCCTCTCAGTTGCCAGTGCCTCAGCTGAGAGAAGACCCCAGGGAGACCCTACCTGAAAGAGAATTAGGCTTTGTGCATTTCTACACCACTTTTTATTAATGCAAACTTTTGCAAGAAAAGTAGATTGGGAAAAAAGAATCTAAAGGAGGTAGCCCAAGAAAAGGGAGATAAAATGGCCAAACTTGGTGAGAAGATGTTCAGTGTAGTCATTAGTTTCACAACCAAAAACGACATGACCTTTAGAAGAATGCAAGGGGCTGGGCTGCTGCCGTCTCCCTGCAGGTTCTGGGAGCGTCAGCTGGTGTGGTCCACCTTAAGTCCAGCAACTGACAACCCAAAAGGCGTCAGGGTGGCCCTGCAGGTCCCCGCCCGCACGTGCACTTGGGCAGTAGCTCAGTTTGGGCTGTGAAGGCAGAGGAGGAACTTTGGGCACTAGAAAGATGAAATGGGGGGATGGGCTGGGCTGGGCTGTGGCTCAGTGGCAGAGCGCTTGCCTCGCATGCATGAGGCTCTGGGTTTGATTCTCAGCACTTCACACAAATAAATAAAATAAAGGTCCATCAACAACTAAAAAAATATTTTATTTAAATAAAGAATGTTGCAGCCACAGCCTTGTCCAGTCCTCAGGGGCTGCTGTGGTGGCTCTCAAGCCCTAGCAGACCCCCAGTGCAGCACAGCCGTGGGGCGGGGTGGTGGACGCAGGGCAGTCGGGGCACAGACCATCCTGAGGGGCCGTCTTCCCGATGAGCAGCACCGTGGCTAGTTACAGAAAGGTCTGTGTCTTGCCAGGGCAGTGGGCCATGGGCAGTCAGGTCCGGGCCGCAGCCTGCTGTGCGTCTTGCCCTACAGAGGCAGCCGGGGCCGCGGGTGGCATCTGGGACCCTCACCCGTGTGTGTCCTGCAGACCTGCCTCCTGATGCGGCAGCAGCACGAGGCCGCAGCCCTCAATGCCGTGCAGAGGATGGAGTGGCAGCTGAAGGCACAGGAGCTGGACCCCGCAGGGCACAAGTCGCTGTGTGTGAACGAGGTGCCCTCTTTCTACGTGCCCATGGTCGATGTCAACGATGACTTTGTGCTGCTGCCAGCGTGACACCAGGGGAAAGTCGCAGGACACCGGCGAGGGCCGTAGTCACCAGTGCTGCTGACGTGCCCGCGGTGCAGGAGGGCACCATGCCGGCCAGGTGGGAGGAGCCCAGAGACTGCACCTGGCCACACGCCTCGCCTGCCAGACCAGCCCGGAGGCCAGGAGACCAGAGTCTTTACCAGCGGTGGCAGGGAGAACGGGCCCCCACGCTGCAGTGCCTCGTTGGCCCCAGCGGGAGGAGGAGACCGTGGCCCATCCAGAGGGGCACCTGGGTCCCTCCCAGCCAGCCGCAGGCACCCGAGGAGCAGGAGAGTGCGCTTTTGAAGTCCCTGCTCCCTTCTGATCAACTAAAGGAAACGACTGAGGCGTCCACCTCGCACAACAGTGACCTCTGGTCGGGGGCAGGAGTGTCCCCCCGCCACGGTCCTCAGGACAGGCTGGGACACTGAGGTTGCTAGTGCCAGGCGAGGGCCACCTGCCGGCCACAGAGGGACTCAGCCAGGACTCTCCAATAGTGTTTTTAATGGAGTCAAATCCACGTGGTTTGTATATTTTTTTCCTTTAATCTTGGGCATTTTGTTTCTCTTTCTGAGAACGTAACTTGAAACACTACAGAGCCAATAATCCTATAGAGAGTATCCGCGAACGAACGCTGTACAGTTTTATATACATTCACAATGTACTTTTGCTGCCTTCTAGATAATTTATTTTGCAACACATTACTGCACAGTTGTAAATAACTTATGTACTGTAACATCACTTTCAGTTATGTGTAAAGAAATAAATAAATTAATTAAAATGCTTCTCCCCCTGTGTGGTTCCTCAGGAGGTCCGGCCTCTGCTAGGGAGGTCGCTTCACCTGGAAACCCATCCCCCGGGGCTCCCGCTCCTCCCGCCTCCCCGTCCCACCATCAAAGGACCGTGGCCTCGGCGGAGAGGCCTCCCCGTCCCATCGTCCCATCAGCTGGAGACAGCGGGCTCTCGCCGCCACCTGAGCCTGCGCAGGGTTTTTCCCATGACCGGGCAGCTGGAGCCCCACTGGGAGATGCCGACAGTGGTCAGAAGGTGGGCTTGCTGAGGGTGGGCCCTCCACCTCGTGTTTTTCCCCCGAGCAGAACTGGTGATCCTGCTGTTGGGAGGGGCCAACAGGCCATTCATCCCTGACCTGTGGGCCCTTGCAGGCTACCTGCCTCGGTAGGGGGAGCTACAGAAAGGGCCCCCCAAGGGAGCAAGGAGGAGTCCCTGTGTCCTGTGAGCTGAGCTGGGTGAGCCATCACCCCTCAGGCCACGGGATCCCTCACCTGCCAGCCAGCCAGCTGGCGCTGCAGGGCATCCTGTGGCACAGGGTTCTCTCGGGACAGCCACCCTGCCAGCGTTGGGGCTTGGGCTCAGACAGGAAGAAACGAGAAGAGCCATTGGCTCATCGGCAGCCTGGAGTAGGTGAGGGGTTGGAAAAGCCAAGAAGAGTTTTCTTCTTCCGGAGATGGTTCCTGAGGCAGGGCTGTCCCATGTGTGACTCGGCAGGAGAAAGGGTCCCCTGCGGGTGGGACCAGGCACTGCCCTGTGTAGGCTCCAAGATGCAGCTGCCTCCCACCCCACTTCCTCCCCCGGGGAGGACGGGAGGAGGGGCCCAGAGGAGGAAGCCCCTGGGCAGCATGTTGCCACAGACACCTGGAGCTACTGGTGGTCACCTGCATGGCATGCTCAGCCCCGGCCCTGCTGCACCTGGCCTTCGCTGCTTATGCCACTGGGCCCTCCCCACAGGCAGGACAGTCAGCAAGGCCTGCAGGCACTGCCCAATGTGCTCTGGGGACAGAACTGCTGGTCTCCACAAAGTACTGCGTTGTGTGACTCCAGTTCCGTGAGGTTGAAATGGGGAAAGGTAGCCTGAGCAGAGGCCCCCGGGCACTGGCACCATCCTATCCTTGACCTGCCATTGACCAGTGGCTATTTGAAGTTGGTTTATTTGTTTTAATAAGGGATGGAAGAGATTTCTCCAGAGATGCTGAAAAGCATGTGGCGTGCAAAACTACAGTGGCAGTCAGAGCCGCTTAACCTCCCAGAGTGCCCCCAGAACGGGTGGTGAGTGACAGTCCAACACAACCTGGTACGGTGGTGCCCTGTCAGACCCACGCCTCCAAGATCAAGCAGGTCTGTCTGCTGACAGGAAGTCAGACAGGGCCTCCAGGGCAGTAGAGCAAGGGCTTTGTGAAAATCCCTTCTCCACACCCACAGTGGGTCAGGCTGCTGAGACCACCGTCAGCATGTGGGAGAGCCGAGGCCAAGCCTCGGGGTGTGCTGGCCGCGGTGGGCTGACTGGAGCTGAACTTTCCAGCCTGCCCTGCTCCTCTCTCACTGGTGACACCTTGGGAACCAGCGGCCTGCAGCCAAGGGCTGCCTGTGCCCAGGGCCACTCTTGTGACTCGATGTTGTGCCTGATGGCTCCGTGGAAAGCCACGGGGCCTGGTGTGACTAGACTGGCTTGGAATCTACTCCTGGGGAGGGGGGAAGCCTTCCTCCCACAGAAGCAGACAGCAGTGACTGTTCAGCATCACAGCTGCCTGGGGACAGATGCCTGTGTGGACGCCAGAAGCTCCGTGCGCCTGGGGCTAGAGAAGTCCATGTACACATGCAGGCCTGTGCATACCCAGGGCAGCTGAGCACATTCCAGCCCCTCACCTGAGCGTCAGGCCTCGTGCAAGATCAAGGCTGAGGCATAGCAGTGACCTACCAGAGCGCCAAGAAGCACTGACCGAGGACATACGGGGCCAGGGCCACTAGCTGAGCACCAAGCCAGCTGGCTGCACGCTGCAGCAGCCCCCAAACACCAAGCCTGGGGGGAGTAACGTGCGGAGTTGCCTCCTGTACTACGTAAAATGTCTAACACCGGCTTCTGCAAGTGGATGTCCAGAGCACAGCGGAAACCGTGTCTGAAGAATTAAAGTGACGAGTAGAAACAGAGCCAGTAGATGGAGATGAGTTTAAAAGCAGCAGACGGAAATTTCATTGGTGGAAAATGGAATCACTGAATTTCACTTGGTAGAAGAAAGAATTGGCAGACAAGGCAGGTGAGCCGAGATGGAGTCTGAGGAAGGGAGCCACCCAGCTGCTGGGTGCCAACAGGTGTGCAGGACGGTGAGGCCGTGCTGGAGGGAGAAGGGGGCACCAGTGAAGGGATGACGGCCAGGGCACCCAAGCTCATGGACAAGACGAAGCCAACAGGGAGAGACCTGTGTGTGGACACATCATGGCTGAACTGTCCAGGCAAAAGGGAGAGGGTCCTGACTGCAGCAGAGACCAGCACAGCCCACAGAAAGGACCTGCAGATCAGCAAGTGGCTTCTGGGCCAGCAGCCAGGCAGGCAGCCAGCTGCCCTGTCCAGAGTGCTGCAGAAAGTTAACGCAGACCCAGGCCTCGCAGCTGTAAAACCCCTCAGGACAGCTGGGAGGACCCTTGGACGGCCTTGGGTTTGAGGACCTAAGGCACCAGCCATGAGAGAATAAGCTAGACTTCATCCAAGTTACAGATACGTGCAGCAGGGGTGCAGCTCAGCCAGAGAGCTCTCTGGTTTCAATCCCCAGAATCACGATTTAATAAATAAAAATATGTCTATCAAAAAAAAAGGAAGAACCGGGGGGCTGGGATGTGGCTCAGGCGGTAGCGCGCTCGCCTGGCATGCGTGCGGCCCGGGTTCCATCCTCAGCACCACGTACACACAAGGATGTTGTATCCGCCGAAAACTAAAAAAAATAAATATTTAAAAAAAAAAAAAAAAGAAGAACCGGGTCTGGGGTTGCGGCTCAGTGGTGGAGCGCTCGCCTAGCACAGGGAAGGCACTGGGTTCCATCCTCAGCACCACATGAAAAAATAAAGGTATAGTGTCCATCTGCGACTAAAAAATATATTTTGAAATAAAGGAAAAATCGGTTACATTTCTACACATTAGTAATTAAAAATCTGAAAAGGCTATTTAGGAAATAAATAAAAGAATAAATAATTAGGAATAAAGTTAGCCAGTGGAGTAGAAGCATGGTACACCCTGGCATGTGTGAGGCACTGGGTTCGATCCTCAGCACCACATGTACATAAATGAATGAAATAAAGGTCCATCGACAAAAACTTTTTTTTTTTAAATTTAAAAATAAATTGAAAGATAGCCTGAAGATATTTCCATCCCCTGTACCCAAAATAAACCAGCTGTCTTGGAAAAGAGTAACCAAGCCGAGGGACCCCCACTCCTCAGTTTCAAGACTCCGCACCTGGCTATGGCAAAAAGAAGAACCCTGCACGGGAGGCCCCAGGAGGGTGCCCACTCAGGGAACAGACCCGGAGACCACGCAGAAGCCGGCTTTGTGGAAGGTATCCACGTGTTTCAGAGAAGTGGCGGTCCATACGCAGCATGACTAGGTTGACCCCTGTCTCACTCCACATACAGAAATCACCTGGCTGAGAGCCGGTGTCAGAGGGCTCGCCTAGCATGCAAAGGCTCTGGCTCCAGGCCCAGCACCAACAAAACAAAACTCAAATGTTCCAAGTGCAGTGGTGCATGCTGAGATCCCAGCAACTCAGGAGACAGGCGAGAGGATCACAAGTTCAAGGCCAGCCTCAACAATTTAGCAAGGCTCAAATAAGGGCTGAGAATGTACTCATGCTAGGTGGAGCACTTGGTAGCAGGTGGGAGGCCCTGGGCTCCATCCAGCACCACAAAACAAAGACCCTGTCAAGAGTCAAAAGGCAACTTGAGAATGGGAGGTAAGGGGTTAATATCCAGAGCATACAGAGAATCCCTAAAGCTCGGTAACCAAGCAGACAATCCCATCTGGAAATGGGCAAGAATCCTGAGTCGACATTCCTCCAAGAATCACAAGATGCCAAGACGCACGGTGGACGATGCCAGCCGCCACATTCGGAAACGCAGACCAGAACCACCTGGAGGCGCCTCCTGCCCACCAGCAGCCTTCCCTGCGAGGACTGCACAATGATGCCCGGAGGCTGTGGTGGCCTGCAGCCCTTGGGCACAGCTGGTGGGAACAGGAAGTGGCTCAGCGGCAGCAGAAGATGGTGTGGAGGGGCCTCGGAAAGCTGAAGTCCACACACCAACGGGAATTGGAAAGAGGAGTCCCACTGGCTTTGGCAGTTCTGGGGACTGAACCTCGGGATCCGATCCCCTCCCAGCCCTCTGATGTATTTTGGGACAGGTCTCACCACGTTGCCCAGGCTGGCCTCAGATTTGCCTCAGCCTCTGGGGACACTCGTTCTGGAGGCATCTGCCACTACGACCCTCAGGAAGAATGTCTTGAAGAGATCTGTGACCATGTTCCCAGCAGCATTTGAGCGCCATAGCTAAATGTGAAAGTGACCAGAGTCCACTCTCTGGTCAGTGAGCGAGCCAAGCATGGCCTGGCTGTGTCACAGAATATCACTTCACCTTAAAAAGCAAATTCTCTCTCTCTCTCTCTCTCTCTCTCTCTCTCTTTAAGATGGGTCTTGCTGTGTTGCCCAGGCTGGCCTTGAACTCAAGGTCCTCCTGTTTCAGCCTCCAAAGTAGCTGGGATTACAGGTGAGCACCACCACACCCAGCTAACAGGGAAATACAGGAAATAAGTTCTGACACATGCTACTCTGGGTGAACCTGGAGCACTTTATGCTAGGAGAAGCCAGTCACAGAAAGACTGACACGGGTGGTTCCACGTAGAAGAAACGGAGTCTTCCAAATCAGAAGTAGAGCGGTGGCTACCAGGGCCAGGGAGGGAGACAGGGGAGTGACTGCTTAACAGGGAGGGTTCCCATTTCACAAGATGCAGAATCACAGAGGTGGACCTGGCAATGGCTGCACATCGTGACTGCATCTGCCACCACTGACCTGGACACTCAGAGATGATGGGTCTGACCACATGCATCACACATCCGGGAAGGAAAGCACTGGCAGAAGTGTCCTGATGTTGGGGCTGGGGATGTGGCTCAAGCGGTAGCGCGCTCGCCTGGCATGCGTGCGGCCCGGGTTCGATCCTCAGCACCACATACAAACAAAGATGTTGTGTCCGCCAAGAACTAAAAAATAAATATTAAAAAAAAAAAAAAAAAGAAGTGTCCTGATGCTGGGGTGGGAAACAGGGCGGCTGCTGTGAAAACCAGGGTCCTTCCAACAGCTGACCACACTCCCTGAAGACCCAGCAATTCCACTCGTGCAAACAGGTGCTCCAAGTACACGGTGTTCACAAAACAGGATGAGCTGCTGACCGATGCCACCATACCCCGTGGGAGCCTCGGACCCAACACTCCAGGAGTCCACTTGGAAAAGCACCCAGAACAGGCAAGCGCACAGCGGAAGGCGGAGCAGAGATCACCAGCAGTGGGTAGGAGTGGTGAGGGTTTCCCTCACACGTTCAAGGCCAGCCTCAGCAATTTCTGCCCTGTCTCAAAAAATCAAAAGGGCTGGAGATGTAGCTTTAGTGGTAGATAGAAAACCCCTGGGGTCAATCCTCAGTACCATGCCAAAAAAAAACAGTAGCTAAAATGGTAAGTTTTATGCTATGTGTACTTCACCATCAGTTTAAAAATTAAAGACTACTCTAAAACAACAAAACAGAAGGAAAAGGCTCCACAGAGACTGGAACAGAATCACTACATGCCCCACAGTCCAATCCAGGGGTGTGCCCACCAGAGCTGAGCAGGCCACCTGGTGCCAAGCAGAAGGGAAAGAACCCACAAGTCCACCAGCCAGGGGCGGATAAGGAAAGGTGGAGCATGTCCAGTCATAAACACTGCGGTGCTGACTGCCCCGGGAGGAAGCCAGACCTACAAGACCACGGGACCTGTGACTGCATTTACTGGAATATCCAGAGCAGCTGGCGCTTGTCAGGGGCTGGCGGAGGGGGAGTCTAACAGCCCAGGATAACACTGTAAGACTAAATGACACTGGCTGGGGGCTGGGGATGTGGCTCAAGTGGTAGCGTGCTCGCCTGGCATGCGTGCGGCCCGGATCCTCTGCACCACATACAAACAAAGATGTGTGTCCGCCAAGAACTAAAAAATAAATATTAAAAAAATATCTCTCTCTCTCTCTCTCTCTCTGTCTCTCTTTAAAAAAATAAATAAATGACACTGATTGCCTGCTTCGATGTTTAGATTTACTTTGTGGTTGCTGTGCTGAGGACCAAACCAACTGGACCCCATCCCCATCCCAGAACTGTACACTTTAAGGTGCTTACTTTATGTTATGTGAATTCCACCCCAATAGACTTTTTTTAAAAATGTATTTATTTATTTATGTGGTGCTGAGCATCCAACCCAGTACACCTCACATATGCTAGGCAAGAACTCTGCCTCTGAGCCACAACCCCAGCCCTTCCTCCCACAGACTTTCAAAAAGCTACTATCAGAGCTGGGATATAGCTCAGTTGGTAGAGTTCTTGCCTCCCATGCACAGGACCCTGGTTCAAACCCCAGCACCACAAGGGGAAAAAAAAAAAAAGCTAATGTTGTTCTTTTAAATGCAAAAATGCCAATTATGAGGTGCCCAGGTGTGGTGGCCCTGAGAAGGAGTTCAGCAGTTCAAAGCCAGCCTCAGCAACAGCAAGGCACTAAGCAACTCGGTGAGACCCTGTCTCTAATAAAATACAAAATAGGGCTGTGGTGGCTCAGTGGTAGAGTGCCCCTGAGTTCAATCCCCTGTACCAAAAAAAAAAAAAAAAGCCAATTGTGAATTTTTATGAAAACACAGAGCCCGTTCACAAAGCAAAAGAAAACAAACGTGAAAAAAATTCTACAGATTTTACTAGTTTGTGATCTACTGTTGAGAAAACACTGTTGAGAAAAACCAGAGCTAAGAATAAAGAAGCGGGTGTGGGGGGGCCGCTGGGGCTGGGGCTCAGCGGTGGAGCGCTCGTCTAGCACATGCGAGGCCCTGGGTTCGATCCTCAGCACCACACAAAAATAAAGTAAAGGTATTGTGTCCACCTACAGATTAAAAAAACAAAAAGAATAAAGAAGCCCTACCTGGCTCCTGGAGCGGCAGCATCCATGGCGCCCAGCGCTACCCCAGGTACGAGTGACTCTGCCAAGATGTAGTGGACGGCGCAGAGCCAACGGGCAGACATCGCCCTCGGCTTCCAGGTCTTTCGGGCTCACTGGTCGCAAGGCAGGTCCCCGCAACCTCAGCAGGAGCCCGCGTCCGAACGCCCACCGGGCCCAGCGCACCTGTGCGCTGCTCACACCTGAGCGCCCGCCGGCCACGCCCCCAGCAGGACCCTGGAGCTGGCTCCGCCCGCGAGTGGCTCCAGGTCCCGCCCCGTGTCTCCGCCCACCGCAGTCCCGCCCAGACCCACTCGCCCCGCAGCCCCGCCCCTCCGGGGCTCCTCCCCGGCGGCCCCGCCCCTGCCTCCGCCCATCGCGGCCCTGCCCCGCGGGCTCCTCCCCGGAGGCCCCGCCCCTGCCTCCGCCCATCGCGACCCCGCCCCGCGGGCTCCTCCCCGGCTTCCGACTCTCCGGGTCCAGTCCCCGGCTTGGAGCCGGAGCGCGGCGGCGAAGCACGCATGGACCGCGAGGCGCGGGTGCTGTGCGCGGCAGGAGGCTTCGGCCGGGCTCGGCGCCTACTGGTCGCCGCCTCGTGGCTGCCCTGCGTGGCACTGGGGCTGGCGCTGAGCTCGGAGCCGCTGCTCACCGCGCGGCCAGCGCACCACTGCCGTCCAGACCTCGCGCTACTACCGCCCTCGCTGCGTGCCCTGCGCGGGCCGGCGCTGCTCGATGCCAGCGTGCCGCGCCTGGGTCCCGCGCGCGCCCTGAGCCCGTGCCTGCTCCTGCGCTACCCGGTGGCCGGCGCCCGCCCGAGCTCCGCGCTCGCGCCAAACGGCACGCGGTCCTGCACGCGCGGCTGGCTCTATACGCTCCCCGCCGCCGGCCTGATGCACAGCCCGGTCACCCAGGTGCGCCCGCCCAAGGGGTCTGCCCAGGAACGAGCGGGCAGGGACGTAGGTGGTTTGGGGGTCTTCCGCCCTGCTGCGGGTCCCTCCCTGTGCCTTTGCCGGGGTTCTCACTGGGGGCCCTCCCGCCCCCTCCCGCCATGCGGGTGCAGCAGGTATACCCGGACTCTTGGCCACCACTATGGGTGGGCTGCGGGCAGGAGAATTTAGGCTGGAGGCGAGGGCAGGTGGGCGTGGGTGGTAAGCCGGGCCTGGAATTCAAAGTTCCAGGCTCGTTTTGAGCAACTAATGGCTTTGGGCCAGGTAGGTGCTGGGACTGCGTTTCCAGAACAGAGGCGGTTTTGAATGGAGGGAATGGCGTGTGGGTTTCATTTCAGAGGGAGATCTGCGCGTGGGCGTTGGCCTGGAGGCCACGACCAAGCGGGGCTCAGGGTTCTGGGTGAGAGCACTTGGGAAACGGGGCGCCCTTCCCACTAGCCTGCCTCCCCCTTGGCAGCCCGTCTTCACCCGGGAGCAGAGGCCTCAGTGGGAGGGAACAGTGGCCACATCTCTGAGGGCCTGCCTGGGTCTCTGAAACTGGTGGGGTTCTGCTCCCCCGCCTCCCAGCGTCCCTCCTGCTGGCTCCTGATGGATCCATGCCCCTCACCTTCAGAAGGGTCGGGTTTTAAAATAAAAACGGCCTAGCAGGACCCACAGGACTGTTTAACCTGGGGAGAAGAGGCAGGGATGAGGAAAGGGGAGGCGGCCTGCCCAGCAGGTCAAGGGCCCTTGGCTGCCGGAAAGGCAAAGCCTTGAGCACTCTCCACTTGAGAGCTGGGCAGGGCGAGGGCAGAAGGGTGGGCAGGACGTGGAGCCCGTTTCAGAGCTGAAGCCCCTGGGCCTGAGGTGGCGTTGTGTTTCATAGGCCCTAGGCCCTGAGTATCACTGAGACACTTAAGGGCTGACAGGGCCAGTCGTGTGGGAGGGTGGGACGGCGCTTCTGAGAAAAGCAAAACCTTAGGGCGGGAAGATCCCCCCACAGCAGACTTGGGGCTGCATGTAGAATCTTGGGGACCCCAAGGCATTGCCATCGAGGGCTCAAATCAGAGGTTGTTCCAATTCTAGGCAAAGACCACCAGAGTCAAAAAAGCTGCTGTTTCATTCCCACGTTCCTTGCCCTCTCGTGTCCCCAGAGAGGGGTTCTGGGGCTCCCTGCATCTTGTACCCCCAGCAAGGGAGAGTCCTGGGCTGGTCCACAATGGCTGGTGTTCCCCACAGTGGGACCTGGTGTGTGAAGATAGCTGGAAGGTTCCGCTGGAGCAGACGTGCCACTTCCTGGGCGGGCTGCTAGGCTGTGTCCTTCTGGGTGCAGGGTGTGACAGGTGAGACCCTGCCCTTCCTCTGCCCTTAGCTCCCAGCCTTTAAGGTGCACCCTGACCCACACCAGCATGTGTCCCCCTGCCCACCAGGTTTGGCCGCCGGGCTGTTTTTGTGGTCTCCCTGGTGCTGGCCACAGTCCTAGGGGCCAGTGAAGCCCTGGCTGCCAGTTTCCAGACCCTCCTGGCCCTGAGGTTTCTCCACGGGGGCACCTTGGCAGGGGCCTTCCTTGCCCTTTATGTAGCTCGTGAGTAGTGTGAGGGGCTGCCTAGGGAGGAGCAGTGGGCAGCACGGGAACCACTCTGGCACTCACTGAGGACCCTCCTCAGGAAGGCAGTGGCCACTGGTGTTTGTTCCAGGGCCCCCAACTAGGGCTGGTGACAGTCGGCCCCCAAATCCAGCTCCAGACAGCAGTACTCCAAGAGGCCTTGGCCTCAGCCATCTTTGTCTGCCCAGGCCTGGAGCTGTGTGACCCCCCACACCGCCTGGCCTTCTCCATGGGAGCTGGCCTCTTCTCAGTGGTGGGCACCCTGCTGCTGCCTGGGCTGGCCATGCTGGTGCAGGACTGGCGCCTTCTGCAGGGCCTGAACGCCCTGGTGACTGGATTCTTGCTGCTCTTTTGGGGGTGAGTACTACAGGGGTCGGGCAGGGGCCGCCCTGGGGGCCAGTAGATACCTTCTCTGTACTTCTATTCTACACCTGCTACTTGGCCACAGCACAGGGTGACGGGAAGCCACATCCATGTCCCAACCCCTTTCGGTCCAGGGAGGGCACTGGCTTTGTTGCTGCATCATGGAAGAGGTGAGCAGGCCACAGGCCTCCTTGACAACCCTGCAGGTTCCCAGCTGTTCCCTGAGTCTCCCGGCTGGCTTCTGGCCACGGGGCAGGTGACCCAAGCAGGCAGGATTCTGTGGCACTTTGCAGAAGCCAGCGGCCTGGACCCTGATGACAGCTCCTCAGAGGAGAACTCCCTGGCTACAGGTAACGCACTAGCCAGGGAGTGGCGCGGCAGGGGCTAGAGGAGGGAGGGCCTGGGAGGCCCCCTGCCCCTCTCACCTGCTCCCTCCTCTCCCTGGTCCAGAGCTAGCCGCGCTGTCTGCAGGCAACCCGCAGCCCCAGTACCACTCCATCCTGGGCCTCCTGCACACCCGTGTCACCTGGAGGAACGGGCTCATCCTGGGATCTAGTTCGTGAGGAGGAGAAGGCCCGGGGTGGGCCAGGGTTTGCAGCCACCCCAGGGGAGGGTGTTTGGTGGATACAGCTCTGCTTCCTTCCAGGCTGATCGGTGGGGGCATCAGGGCCGGCTTCCTCCGCCGCCTGGCCCCAGGCGAGCCCGCCTTCTACCTGCCCTATTTCCTGGAAGCTGGCCTGGAGGCTGCAGCCACCGTACTGCTGTTCCTGACGGCAGATCGCTGTGGACGTCGCCCTCTCCTGCTGCTGGGCACCATGGCTGCAGGCCTGGTATCCCTGCTACTCCTCGCTGGGGCTCAGTGTGAGCTTGGGGCCCAAGCAGGCCACACAGGGGTCCCTGGGTGTGGGCCAAAGGTCTGTCCTGCTCGTGGTGCCCAAGGGGAGAGGCACAGCTCCTACCTTCCTGTTCCCTCCATCCCCCACGTATACTAGGGGAAATCAAGGCCTGAAAAAGTTAAGGGACCAAGAAGATCCCTCATGACGGCCAACTACTGCTGTCCTGCCTGGGCCTGGCCACCTGTGCCCGACACAGTGTAGGTGAAAGTTCAGAGGTCAGGCCTAGTAGGCTCTGCCAGCATCGAGCAGCCAGGGCCGGTTTGGGCTGGCATGGGAGAATCATCTCCACAGGGCCATCTAATCTAGCACAGAAAGGAAATAGTTCAGACTTTGGGGACAGTTCTCAAATTGCAAAGGAAGTAGCATGAGCAGAGAGGCTACAGGTGGACAGTCCCTGAGCTGTGTTTCTGGCCAGACTCTCTAGAATCCAAGCTGTCTGCACAGGAGGGCGTGAGGGACTGGACACCCATATGCCCCAGTGTGTGTGTGGGGGGGGGCATTGGGGACGGAGGGGCCCTGAGGAGTCGGGTCAGAAGGCCTGGGAGAGAGCCCCTGAGGACCTTGCCCTTTGTCCCCAGACCTGCCAGGCTGGACCGCACTGTCCCTTTCTGTCCTGGGGCTCCTGGCCTCCCAGGCTGTGTCGGTGCTCAGTGTTCTCTTTGCAGCTGAGGCCTTCCCCACCGTGATCAGGTGAGTGCAGAGCTGGCCAGCAACATGGAAGGGTCAGCTGGACAGAGGCCTATGCCCCCACCATCCTGCACCTGAATAGGGCCATTGAGCGCTGCCCTCCTGGATGACCGGGGCCATCCACAGGAGGACTTAGGCACAGCTTAGGAAGGAGGTGTGGGGTGCCTTCGAGGGTGGCAGACATCAGGGCAGAAGAGAAGAGAACAGTTGGTCACATCTGCTTTCCTGGAGCCACACCTCAGGCTCTGAGAGGGCCACACCACTCCCTGCCCATGGGAGTGGTTGGAACCACGGCACACTGGGGACCCAGCTGCACCCCGCATGCTCTCTCCCACAGGGGGGCCGGGCTAGGCCTGGTGCTGGGGGCCGGGTTCCTGGGCCGGGCTGCTGCCCCGCTCACTGACATCCGTGGCCGGCATGGCTTCTTCCTACAAGACGTGGTCTTCACCTCCCTGGCCATCCTCATCCTGCTCTGTGTCCTGCTCCTGCGTGGGTGTCCACCTCAGGGCCACCTGCCTCTGCTGCTGCCCTCCCATTCGGGATGAGCAGCCACACCGCCCAGCAGCACTACTGTGAGCCAGGACAAGGGCCACAGCTGAACACCCCCAAGGGCTGACCAGAGCTGCCACAGCGAGGCAGACACATCCCACCAAGACCGCCAGTCAGTGCGGGCAGGGAGGCGGTGGACACAGCAGGAAGGGGCCCTGGATGGGCCCCTGGGTCTGGGGGGCTGGCTTCCATCTCTTCCGTGGCCATGCCACCAGATGGGCAGGACAGAGGCAGCTATGGAGTGTGGCATCCACCAGGTGGGCAGGGCTGGCCTGGTGCCTTGTCCCACATGGCACACACTCTGGCCTCACCAGGACGGCCAGAGCAGGTCAGGCCTCCCACCCCCCCGGCCCCAGGCTGTGGCTTCCTGCCAGGCACAGCCTGCCTGGCAGAGCCCTGTTCTTGGGGACAGGGACCCTGGTGCCCTCGTGGGTATTGTGGTGCGGGCACTGACAGAGCACGGGATAAACTAGCAAGACTTTAACTCTGATTCACCACGAGGCTCTTGCTTCCATACAGAGGAGATGGCCTCCAGGGGGGCAAAGGTGGGGTGACCCCAGCAAGGATAGGAAGCAGCTCCCCAACTCCAGCAGGAGGGTGCCACCTCCTGCCACTCACTCCAGACTCCAAGTGCCATCCCCTCACACTCATCCTGCCTTTGGAGAAAGGCCAGAGGAAGTGGTCCTGGTGAGGTCGCCTTTGCTATGAATGGGCTACCTATCAGGCCCTTAGGTTACACTTTGGTCTCTGGGTGCAGGTGCCCCCAGAAAGCGCCCTCCCTGTCAGGTGGCCACATCCAAACAGCACATTCCACTCCTGGCCTTGGTTCTCATGGATGCCCATACATGTCTGCCAGGCGGGCAAAGCGGGGGCCCCAGTCCCTGAGATAGTCATAGTCCTGGTCCTCGTCACCATGGCTGGACAGGATGGAGCTCAGCGTTCCTGCCACAGAGCCGTCCCCCTCGTAGTCATATATGAGAGCCGTGTCATAGGGTGGCACGCTGGGGTCAGTGTCCGCCGCCTCCAGGCCCTGCAGAAAGGCCCACAGAGCTTAGGACGGCAGAGGCCAGCTGGGAGCCTGCCACACTCCTGTCGCAGCCAGGGGAGGTCTGCAGTAGCAGAGCCCCCAGGGCACAGCAGGGTTGAGAGGGCAGTCCTCAGGCAGAAGGAGCCAGCCCTGCTCCACGAGCAGCTGCCACCACCTTGCAGGGAGTCACTCCTCTAACAGCACCAGCACTGTGCCTGCTGCTGCAGGGTGACTGAGTTTGCTGGGGCTTTGCATGACAGCAAATAGTGGACGTCTCCCTGCATGGCCCCCGTGGCTTTGCATGTTCTGGGCATCTTGCATGTTGGCTTGGGAGTATCCAAATGGCTACTGTGATGTCTCAGCTGACCATTAAAGCAGGCCCAGGGATACTGATACCCACCCACCCCAACCCACCACTGTAGTGAGCCAGGGAAAGTCCAGCCTCTTAACCCACACAATGAGCTTCATAGACGGAGGCCAAGGGCCACCTGGATCCAAGTCTCGGCAAATAGATGGCCAATCTCCGTTTGCCACATAGACACTGACACCACACTCCACCCCTAATGCTAAGCTTGGAAAGTGCCACCCAGCCTGCAGGCCCTGCTGCACCTCAGGCTTCCCCAAAGCATGTCCAGGGTCCCACCAGTGAGTCCTCTCTGATCACCTGCAGCCCGGAGGCTAATATCCCAGGTGGACACACAGTGTGGAGACTGAAAGGCCCGTGAGCTCACACATATGTACCTGTGCATGTGTGCTCACTCAAGGGTGTGCGTGTGGGCATGCACAGTTCCCCTCTGACCTGCACACTCCCCAGGGCCACCTACATCGCTGATGAAGCTGGCCATGTCAGCAGGGCTGGTGGGGAGCACGCGGTGTGGCTGGCGAGGCACGCGGCCAAAGGGAGCATCACGGCGCAGGGGTGGCCGTCCCAAGGGGAGGCTCAGAGCCGGCAGTTCTGTAGGGTGGCGCAGCTGGTTTATGTCGTAGGCATCCTGGGAGCACAGGAAGTGCGATTAGGGAGGCACCAGGCGGCTCTGGGTGCTGTCCCGCGGCTGGGAAGGGCCCATGGCCCCGTTCCTGGGGGAGCCCCTGGCCGGGGCTCAGCGTTTCTGAGCCACCACCTTTGCTCCACTGACCTGGTCCTCCTCCCCGCCTCCCTGCTCGTCGTAGTTGAGGATGTTGTCGCGAAGGTCGTCCTGTAGCCCGCGCAGCAGACCCTTATCCCGCGGCGGCTGCTGGAACCGCGAGCCGAGTGCCGCGAGCAGGACCAGCACTGGGGCGAGCGGAGGGAGGTGACGTCGGGGCTGGGTGGGAGAGTGGAAGGCCACCCGAGGGGGGGCGGGGCGGGGCCCACATGCGGATCTAGGGGAGGGGCGGGCCCGCGTGGGCGGGGCACTCACGTAGCAGCAGGATGGCGCTGGCCAGCACGATGACCAGCGCGCCCAGGCTGACGCCCGCGCCCCCGGCCCGCAGCGCAGCGGCCCCCGGCAGGCAGGCGCCGTCGGGCCCACAGCGGCACACGGTCACGTTCAGTGGCTGCTCGCGCTCCTGGGGCGGCTGCCCAGAGTCCCGGAGCAGCAGGCTGAGGCGGTGCGGGCCCTCAGGGATCTGGTGCCGTGGCCTCAGGCGCGTGTGGCTCACTGGAGAGGGCCACTCTGTCAGCAGAGACCCTGGGGCCGCCCTACGTCCAAACAGCATCCGAATCCCTAGGCCTCGGTTTCCCGTCCACCCACTGGGCATGTGAAGCCTGAAGATGTGGCCAGTGTCGCATGCCCTCCATGCACCACCAGGTCCCAGGCCCTAGCTAGGGGACTCACCGTTAACCTGGCTGAGACTCCAGTTCCGGCTGAGCTCTGGGAACCTGGGGCTCAGCTGGAAAAGGAAAGGCGCCCCGTGTGGGGGCAGGTCCTCATCTGTGGCACCCAAGAGGAGGCCCGGCCCCTGGTCCGGTTCACTGCACAGGCTGCTGGGCGATGGAGGGGCCAGCACAGGTGCATGGTCGTTGACCTCCACAATCTCGATGGATAGGGTGCCTGTGCCGGTGCTGGGTGGAGAGCCTGCAGGCATGGCGGCAGTAGGCTGGGTGCCCTGCCCCAGCCCACCACCCACCCTTTGGGTGGAGCCCTGGGAGGAGAGAGGCCCAGCCAGGCCAGACAGCCCTGAAGCCAGGCACAGGGTCCCACTCACCGTCATCCAGGGCCAGGACGATGGCCCGGTACCAGCCGTCCTTGAGGAAGGGGGAGGCGGGGCTCAGCACGCGCTGGGTCTGGACCTTGCCTGTGGCTCTGTCCACCTGCAGCCAATCCTCAGGATCATAGTCCTTGGAATAGCTGTGGGTGGGAGAGGAGTGGAACCTACCAGGACATCCTGGAACGGGGTCACGCAGACATACACTGCAGACCCGACGACACAGCCATGCACACATGCACCTCTCAAGTTGCACACACGCACACCCCCAGGCCGTGCATATGCACCCACAACAGCACTCTGGGGGCCTCGGTGCAGAGTCCCTTCCACAGCCCGAGGGGTGTTTCTGCCCCAGCCAGATGAGGAAGCTGAAGCTCAGAGAAGGCCAGCAGCTGCCCAGGGCCTGGCGCAACAGCCTAAACTCAGTCCTGGTCAGTGCCAGGTGTGTACAGAAGCCCGTGGTGGCAGACAAGCACACTGGGCCAGGTCAGCAGGGGGTGAAATTAAAACACTCCCAACCAGGCCTGCAGGAGCTAGGGCCCACCAGCACAGACAGAGTGGACATTCAGAGGTCTGTGGCCATGTCCACAGGAACACCTAGAGCCCTGCCCTGCCCCAGGGGACACAGCACAGCAGGACCCCAGACCCCATGGAATGCACACAGACAATCTTTCCGCCTCTGACCCTCAGAGCCAGGGCACCCTCACAGGGCAGCGCATTCACACCTTGTCCCCAAAGACCCAGGAGGCCCACCTGATTCTTTGCAGCTGCTGTGTGTCAGGGTCTCTGGCAGAGAAAAGGGCCACAGGGGTTCCTGGGGGTGCCCCCTCAGCCAGGCTGGTCCGCAGTGGGCTCTCCGGGAACACAGGGGCCTCATTAGTATCCTGCACCCTCACGCTGACCCTGGCCTGGCCCCGCTGAGCCCGGGGGGCAGCTGCCTGCAGTGGGGCCTCGTTCTGCACCGTCACCATGAGCTCATAGTGCTCACGGCTCTCGTGGTCCAGGGGCTGTGGAAGGAGGCAGAGGCCACCCACTCTGGGTGCAAGTCCAGGCACCTAACAGGGCTCCTGGGGGGCACTCCTTGGGCCTGTCCCAAGAGCATGTGTCCCCTTCATCCCCTTTTAACCTTGACAGGTCAAAACTATGCAGGACTAAAAGCCTCGAAGGATAATACAAACATAACAAAATGAGCACCCATCACTCAAAATGAACTTGTTGGGGGTGGTGTGTCCGTCTTGTGTGTCAGAACAGACCACAGCTGCCCAAGGCCAAGCAGACTTCTCTGTGCAGGCACCTGGTGGGTGTGATCAGCTGATGCTAAGCAGAGAAACCATCCTGGCTCATGGTGGGCCCTCCCTGTGTAGGTGAGGCCTTGAGAGCAAAGCGTTTTGTCTCTGAGGACAAAGAAATTCTGCTTCCTGAGTGAGTTTCCAGTAACCCCAAATGCACAAGTCAGTTTCTTGCAAAGCAGTTTCTTTCTCCTTCCTCTGATTGAACCCAGGGGCCTGCATATGCTCCACCACAGAGCTACAGCCCCAGTCTCACAGAAAGTTCTCTACTGCATCAACGTTGAGATGTGCCTGTCCACATACATGTGTGCACGTGCACGCGTGTTTCTGTGTGGCTCCTGCTTGACTCTGCTTGCCTGGGAGAACTGGGACTGACACAGGCAGCACACATACATGGATCACAAGCACGGAGACAGGACAACTGGCAGCTCCCTCTGGCCCTGCTGCCCCGTGGTCAGGGTGTCCTGGACCCTGCATGCTCTGCCCTCCACTGCTCTCACCCAAGGACGCATGCGAGACCCCAGGAGGTCAGCAGACAGCTGCAGGTAGGAGCCCAGGAGAGCTCAGAATGGGGGCATGCAGGGTGCGTGGTCCACACCTCTGCCAGAAGCTCAGAATGGGGGCATGCAGGGTGCGTGGTCCACACCTCTGCCAGGGCAAGGTGTGCACATGACTGGGGCCTCTCACCTTCACCACTGACAGCACGCCCTCGTTGGTCTTGGGATCAGTGCGAATGGTGAACTGTCCTTCCGGGTCCCCTTCCAGGATGGTGAACCTGGCCACCCAGTTGGGGGAGCCAGGTAGGTCCCTGTCTTCCACCTCGAGGCGTCCTACATCCACTCCACTGATGGCCTCTGCAGCCTCCATGGACAACTAGGGGGACCAGCTGG